ACACAGAAGATCCCCGGACTTTTGGTCTTGAGGAATGGAGTGAATTTCAGGAGATTGGGATCATTGGAGACCTGCTTTCATCTGCAGATTTTGGTGGCAATTATTCTGTGTTGATTGTGCAACAACAACAACTAAGGATTGCATAAGTCCCAACGTAACTGATGTTCTGAAGTTGCCATTTGCTTTCCTTACTCTTATCCTTAGGATGATCGATGTGCGTTAGTGTTAGCCACAGACTTGTAAGTTTGGGACTTGCTTTTGGGTGGTTCTAACAACTTGAAATATTCATGAAGTTAGGACAACGTTTGACCCCATTGTGCAATCCCAGTTGTTGAGAAATAAAAAATGGACTGGCTTTCTGATTTCTTTCAAAAAAACAATGCATTAATTAAGGCAATCATCTGCTTGCAATATAATTGTAAGACCAGGCTTAGTGCAATATAACAGTAAAATAATGGGAAAAAAGTTAAAACTTTCCTTGGTTAAGAACCAAAGTTGTATGCAGCATCACTTACAGTTGATAGGTCTCTAAAGAAGCAATTTTATCCAAATTTAAAGCCAAAATAGTAAAATTAATTAGTTCAAAATAAGAAGAGCTATAGAATAATATTTCTTTTAAAAAAGTGGTTGGTGTTATTAGTCCATCAGCTAGTATGCCATGGTAAGTCCTGAACCATGGTGGTGGAAGACTCATATTGGCATAACAAATCTAGCTTTGGAGGAAAAGCTCCATACATTTACAAGGCAAGCGGCTGCTCAAAAAGCAATTGGCAGCACCTACCAAAAGAGAAGAAAGCCACTAAACAAATGATAATGGGCTTAACCAAGCAAGAGCACCTATGGAAATAAGCAACCTACACAAGGAACACCCCGCCATGAAAAAAAAACCTATGACGGCAAAGTTCCCTTGCACTCAAGGAGAAAGAGAAAGCCCTTATAGACTTCCAGACTGAACTCCGCAAGACAATCTAAAGCAAAAGATAAGCACAATGAAAAACAGACCGTGAACGGCACCACCACAAGCAACCAAACGCAACAAGACTTGGCTGCATCACACTGGCAGAAATGAGCCAGTTGCTATGGCACGGACATGGACAAATGGCGACACAAACCTTGTGACCCTACAAAGCATTACCAATCCACGCAAACATCAGCCATGAAACTCCACGGTAGCAGCATCCTCCAAACTCAGTCAATAGTCAAGGCGCTTCATCACGTAGAGAATCATCAAAGCAGCATAGTCCCTAACATGCTGCCACCAGAATGATGGACATTGCCAAAGCTCCATCCAGCAAAACATCCTGGGAAGCCTGCAGAACAATTCTCAATTAGGCTTCACCCTTCTCAACCCTTAGCGCTTTCTCTTTCTCCTATACTACACTGACCTCCCCCAACCTCAAGGAGTTGAACCTCTTTCCACCTAACTTCACCTCCCTAATGCCCCCCACCCGCACCCCTGTAATATTAAGCAGTAAAAGAAAGCAAAGGAGTGAAAAAAAAATTAACAAAGTGGGGCTACCTGGGATATGAAACAATTAACAAGAAGAAGTTGAAAGACCAAACAAGACAATAAATTGTTGAGTTTACTTTGGTTTTTGGCTTTGAGTGTCTTTGAAACGGGAAAGTATAACTCATTGTATTGACTTAAACCACGAGGACTTCCACAGTTTCCGCCATATCTCCTACTGGCAAAAATATATAATTAAAATAAATAATTTTGAAAAATTGAAGAAGGAATTTTATTATGACCAAACTAGCTAGTTGTACATTGGGATTTTCTCTTTTAGCTAAAATTATTGAAAGGAATTAAATTCAGTTGCCAAATTATTCTGATGTATCTTTGTGAATTTGGAGGTTTGATCATTCCATATGGCAACAGCTTGCTCCATTAGAAAACTTGCAACATTTGTTGCCTATTTGGAGGACATTAATTCATTGTTCATCAATACATGATGAATCATCCTTCCATTTTGACAAAGAGACAAATAATGAAACAAGAGGCAGTGATGAGGAAAACAGATATACAAGCTTACCAAAGGTAGAGGAACATTCAATTTCTAGAACCTGTTACAAATTTGGCCAAAAATTTACTTAACAATATTACCTATATATAAAGAACTACTAGCACCATTGAATTATAGGCTTACTTTTCAGCTCAAACAATGTCTGCAACCCTTCATTTTCTCAATGCCAAATTGTTCCTTTGCCTCTTGGTAACACTATTCCAACACCATTTTGCATTTGCAACTTCAAATCCTGCTGGCCTAAGTCTGAGGGCTGTCATAGATGATTCCCCAGAGTCTCCTTTATACCTTATTGGAAACCTCAGTAGGGCTGAAAGAATCGAAAAATTGATTACAATTAGCAATGCAAGAGTCAATTATTTGGATTTGGTTTCGCGACCAAATGCAAGGGTGGTTCCTAGTAATATCAAGATGCCAATATTCCGAGACATTCACTTCTATTCAGTATGGTTTACAATAGGGAGCCAAAAACACCCTGTGAAGTTGTTGATGGACACTGGAGGAGGCCTAATCTGGACACAGTGTCAACCTTGCAAAAACTGTTTCTCCCAAAATCTTCCAATTTATGATCCTAGAGTCTCCGCGAGTTATGGCACACTTCCTTGTGACCATCCCCTCTGCGATGGTGATTATAGACTCTACGATTGTGTAAATGGAGAATGTGTCTATGATGATGAATATGGTGGTGGATCCTCTACCAAGGGTGTTGCATCCTTGGAATCATTCCAATTCTTCATCGATAACCATAACACAAAAACTTTCAGCAATGTCATCTTTGGTTGCTCAGGTGATAATACCGATTTCTCTTTTAAGAATAGTGATATTTCAGGAATCTTCGGATTGAACCTGTCTCCAGATTCAATGTTGAGCCAGTTTTCTCCTTTGATTCACAATCGGTTCTCGTATTGTTTGGTCCCTTTTCTCGATGCAGTGCCTCGTCCAATCATCCTAAGGTTCGGAGAGGACGTTCCGCAGCTGCCTCCAGGACAGGTTAATACAGCATTGTTTGGGTACGCACCACCAGGATCCTATTATGTGTTCTACCTGGAATTGTTAGATATAAGCGTTGCAAACCATCGTCTAGGATTTCATCCTGACTTGTTCAGGGTCAGGCAGGATGGATCAGGCGGTTGCTTTATAGACTCGGGAGCCCTAATCTCTAAAATTGACACCAACACTTTAGGGGTCAATGCTTATGAAGCAGTGCTAGCAGTCTATAAAGCTTATTACGGATCACGAAACCTTCAAAGAACAAATGGTCCGAGAGGATTCGACCTGTGCTACGAAACTCCAGCAAATTACCATGATTTCGCAGCAATAACATTTCATCTTAATGGAGCTGACTACACCGTAGATGGGCAACTTGGGCATTTCTTCGACCCTGTGAATGGGTTTTTCTGCGTAGCAATTGTAAGGGGACAGCTTGGAACTGTGATAGGAGCATGGCATCAACAGAATAAGCGCATCATCTATGATAAAGGGATTGGTGGACTTCAATTTGCTGATGAACAATGTATCAATGATGTTCTTCCATGATTTAATCATTGAAAAAAATAATGTTTTGTGATTGAATTCTTTTTCTTCAAGTATCAAAATTTTGTTCGATATCTTTACTCTATCTGAATTTAAAATAAATGATAAAATATTACTATATTGAATGTCCAGTACTCGAACCTTATATAATCGTTGAATGTCGAATACTTAAACCGTATACAATGGGATTAGATCCGTAGGTACCCAATTAAATGGTAACCATTGCCATCCCGTCAAAATCCATTTTTTGATATTATATGAAAATGAATTATATATATATTTTCCCCACTTAATTAAAGATATATATATTAATTTGTTTTAAGTATTTAACAGTTAGTTTTAATATATTAGGGTATGAGTCCAGATAATTTTAAATTTTTTTCGAGTAGTTATAAGATTTGAGTATTTTACCATTTAATAAGTTTAGGTTAAGGCAACTAAAAAATATCAGGTCTGTACCAATTAACATCCCTGATCATGATCAATATAAAAACTTAATAAGTATATGAAAGCAATTCTTGAGAAAGTAAATGAGTTTTATGAAATAATTATACATTTTTGAAGTGATGATTTTAGGAGACAAAGGGTACTAAAAATCTTCATAAATATTTGAAAATTTAGAAACTTAATATCCAATATTTCTGTAACATGAAATTACTAAAGTAAATCGAGATTAATAAACGGCTAAATAAATCTATGAAAATTTATTTGATTCAAATAAGTACACAAAATTTCAATAAACTTATTATACTTAATGTTTCGATTTTTGTACTTAACGAAAATATAATTAAAGCTGCTAAATATATATTCTTAAAATTATTTATTTACCATTACTTTACCATTTGAAAGAAACATTTAATTCTTCTTCAAAATAAATAAACTCTTATTTAAAAATATATTTATTTTAATTTTGCATACTAAATCTTCGCAAAATTAGCAGCTCAATTTCTGAGAAACAAAACAGAAAAACTGAAAGTAAAGGGGTTCATTTAGTAATTCAAAGAACCTAGAACGGAGCGTTTTGTAGTGCTCCTCGTCATCGTCTTCCAGAGTGAAGCCATAGCGGGAATTTTCCTTCGAAGCAAGAAAAGAAAGGACAGGAAAATGAGCGATCGAGCACGAGATTGGGATTTCTATCTCCGGACCGTATCGAACAGTGCCAGAGACTCGAACTTCGCCAATGATCCAGCATCCGATCCTTCTCTCCTGCACGCCGTGAAGAAACTCTGCGATTTTTGTAGACAAGAAGAGAAATCCTCCGAGGATTTGGTCGCTAGGGTTTACCCTCATATCAACAAGCTCTTCCAACGATCGATTGCTTCCCTCTCTCAATCTCGCTCTTCAAACGGCATTCTCTTACTGGTTCGCATTTTCTTCCTATTTTTTTAATTGAATTGTTGAAAATTTTTTGAATTACTTGAATGTTTGGTGTGGAATTTTGATCAAACGTTATTGAATGTGTGATTAATTCTTTAATTTTCTTTCTTTTTTGACGATATATTATTGCGTGTTGAGTTTTGATTTGTTAGTGCCTTAGTGTATAGCTTGTGTGCATGTAAAAATTTCTCTTTTGATTGTTGTTTTTCCTCCTAGAAGTAGAGGTAAATGGTACAAAGAAAAATGTGTAATTGATTGCAAATGAGCAAAATTTTAAATGCAACACTTTTTTGAAGATAATTCTCCATAGGAAAGTAAAGTCATAAATTTTGTTTGAAGAAAGTTACAATTTTAATGTTTTATTCTTTAAAAGCACTTTCTCTGCAAGCAAAAGAAACAAGTAGCTGAAGAGACAACCAAGCAGACCCTAAAAGTTTTGCTTTTTGTAAAGGCTGGTTTGAGATGGTGTGGCTCAAAATTCAGATATTACCTCTTTGATTAGATGGCCGTAGTTAAAGTGTTTTTGTGCCATAGAATTGTAGTTTAGCAGTATTTTTTATATCTTTTTTATTTTACCAATCAGGTCATTCTTCAATTTTTCCTTGATTTTGGAGAGGTGGTTCTGCACGATGCTGATCCCAGTCTGAGGACATTTTTTCGTTCATGTTTGAGCCGGTAATGATATAGAGTGTCTTATTAGTACTTTTTGTGATGGTTATGTGGATAAAACTTTAGATCATGAGTACTTTGCATATTGTTTTTTCTTGCTTTTCGCATTAAACATAAGATAGGTTTTCCAGCTACTCTATCTCTTTGATTTGTTTTGTTATTCTGGAAGGACTTCTTTTTTCAAAAAACATAAAAAAATGAACTTGAGGGGATAAGAGTGAACCATAATGATTTATGTCAGCTATTTATTTTAGGAATTTAAACATAAGCCTGTTGATAGATTAATAGTTAACCTGTTTAGTAAAGTGCTAATTTACTTGGATCCTTTCTTCTAGCATTCGCTTTAGCTTGTGTATTTACTTTTATTAGTGTGCATTATCACATCAGCTTTCTGTTTTCTTTTACATTTTGTGCTTAGTGCACCCTTATCTTCAGAGGTGGCAAAATGAACCTGAAGTCAAACCCAACTGAATCTGAATTGACTAAAAAAATCAAAGACATGAATCTGAAACGACCTGAACCTGAGACCGATCTTGGAACTAGGGATGGCCCAAATCTGAAATGATCCGAATCCGAAACAGCCCAAGTCAATATGATCTGAACCTGCCCTTTTGCCACCTCTACCTATCTTATTCTAATGTTGATTACAGTGAGTTTGCAGATCCTGTTGTTGCAGAGGCTACCCTTGATTTTCTAAATGTAAACAAGAACAAACTTCTTAGTTCTTTCCCCAACTTATTGCCACAGGTATGATACTATGATTTATGATCCAGAACAGTTTATGCAACATGATGCTTTTATGGTGTTGAAGATGCTGAATATCTGAACAATATGCATTGCATTTCAGAGAATGTTGTTTGACTTTATAAAATAGTGTTATTATCATGTTCTGGCTTTACATATGTATCCTATTATAACCTATTTGTTGGTCTTATGTGTTCTACGATAAAAGTTGCAGAACCCAAAGAAAAGAAATACACGTAGATATGTAATTTTGACCCATAAGCCAATCTGAGGTCTGTGGCACTTAATGAATATCCCTTGTATACTTTGTTTATTTCAAACAGTTAAGACATTCATGTTGATCATAATAAATCAAGTTAAATATTTAAATGTGCATGTTGTATGAAAACTTTTCTTTTTCGGTTATTGTGCTTGATTTGCTTTAGAAAGTAAGTTCTGAAATTCGAAGGTTCCGTGGTCATCAGCTATTAATTCCCCTTTATGATTTTACTTGTTATATCTCATCTTCCCTTTGCTCAACTATATATCTTTCTTGCTTTTGAAATTAAAGGTTTCAAATTGGAAGTTAGACCGAAGATTAGATCAAGTATTTATTCATGTGCATCTCTTGCTAATATTCCTGATGTCTTTGTAGTTTTTCCCTTTGCTTCTGAAGCTGATTGCATGGCACGGAGAAAAGTAAGTTCACCAATCTAAAGTTTTATTTCTATTTCAAAGGCCATATTTTTTGAGTGTTTGGTTATATGGTCTGTTGTTTGACTGGAAATAACCTTTCCCTTTTTTTTTATGGTCTTGTCTCCACTTTTTGAAGAATTATTTGCCGTAATAAAGAGGCTAAGTTGATTCTTTTAATTAATATAAATAATAATAAATGAGATAAATATTTAGTGGGAGTTATTATATCCCTGTTATTTGGTTTACAAAATAAACAATTAAACGTAGAGTACATCACAAATGATTTGTTTTCCAGAGCTATTGAAGTAGATATGATCCACTAATCATCATGTTTCTGCTTTGCAGGTTAGAAAAGCCGTTTCTCAAGGTTTTTCCAGGATTGGTCTCACCTGGGTCATTTCTCCCACTATTTCCATCTTTAGTGGACTTGCCAAGTGAGTTTGTATTCTGGCTTCTCTGCTGACCACATTGTCCTGTTGTCTGCTCTCTCTTTCATACACCTTTTTACCTCATTTTGCGTTTTTTTTAAAAGCCTCATTTTGCATTTTAAAACTTTATTTACAAAAACAAAATTGATAGGTGGTTGATCCGATAATCTTTTACCTTCTTTTTTCTTTATCTATGTGCATTGAGTAGTGCGTTGAATGATTTTTCTTACTTCTTCAAAAAATAATTGCACGCCTAACATTCTTTGTTTATCTACATTAGTCTTGGTTGTGGCATTGGAAAAGGTGGAACGAAGCTCAGGGTCACTAATAGGAAGCAGTATAGCTTCAATCCAGAAGAGTACGGCTCCTGAGGTTATATTTGTGACTATAAATTATGTATTTTCTAAGTCAAACTCGTTATGTATTGCAAATAACAACACTCTCTCTATATGACACAGATGCTACTTGCACTCATGGATGAGGCTTATACTGGTTCTACTATTGGGGATGGAGGGGGAGACTCTGAGTCTGAGGATAGCAGTACGATAGATGTGGCTGATCCTCTATTTCTTGAACTTCTCAAGGATGAAAATGATGGCCTTGCTGTACGGTTTTATTTGTTTATTTCTCAAACTGCATTTTATACTTAGACAAATGCACATATAAACCTTGTATCACTGGAGGACAATGTATTTGTGTTTGAGTTACAGGATATTTTCTGTCTTAAGAATTTGTATCTATATGCTCCTGTAGACTTCTAGTTTTATTTTCATTTTTAAATTGTTCTCTTGCTCCATATCAACTATATTTAACTTTTATCTGCAAGTAAAAGCAGCACATTACGTCTCTTCTAAATTATGGCTAGCTTAGTGATTGTAATATTTCCTCACTCTTCCAATAAGACAATCATTTTTTGGGTATTACCGAAATATTCGAGGTTGGACTGTTATCTATTTTCAAGCTACATATTGCGTCTATGCCTAATTTAATCTTTGTGTATTATTAGATTACCGGCTTTCCTTTTTCTGGATATTTAAAATAAGTAGATAGGATCATTGATTGTTTCAGGAACGCCACTGGACTTCTCCTGGGGTTGCTGCAGTGCTACAGGCTGCAATCAATAGCCCTCAGTCCGATAGATTGAGGCAGATACTCAATATGGCACCTCGGCTACTTGATCTGTATTTTACTATAGCTTTGCGTGATGCAAATAATTGTATGTTTGTCATTTTGTATTTGTTTGATTATCTTTTTTTTTATTGTATATATAACTTGTTATCTAGAGAATGTTTTAAAGAGTGAGTGATGTGTCACTTAGCTCATTGTTATCATGTGTCTTGCCACTCTTTTGCAGCATTAATCTGTGCATTAATTCCCATTCTGATGACAAGAAATTCTGCGTTATTTCCTGACAAGAACTATATGTATGAGGTGTGTATGCATATTCAAACAATCAAAGTTGTTTTATTGATTTTCTTGTTTGACCCATGTATAGTGGTTTTGATATTATCTAAACAGGGTGTAATATCCCTCTAAATCCTGCCTAACAATGTCAATGAATGACATTATTTATTTGGGTCAATTCCAATATGCATATGTTAGATAAAGAAAAAAAGTTAGTGTCATTCTATTTTTTGTATGAATTCAAATTTTTAGCTTGTAAATTTCCATGATAGGCTACAACTATTTAGATGCTTTGGTTGGAACGGCTTGTATTTTTGACAAGTTATACTTTTGCAGCTTCGCAGAAGGCTTCTAGAATTCATGCTTGCTGCATTTCAGCTTTCTCCAGATTTTATTGCACTCTTGAAGGTATTTGTCATACAAATTTTGTTTATGTATTTTATCGTGTGTCAGATATTTCCCAATATATATTGATTATCTTCTTTAATTGTTAGTGAAATTGATGTCTTGAAGGATTGCCAGACCTGTGTCCTTTTTGATAATTATGATGGAATTTTATTTTGGGCAATTTCTTATTTAATAAAGTTTTGGTCCAATTTAACTTCTACAGAAGCCTATAATTGACAGACTCGGGGAGGCATACGACAGCCCAGAAAAGGTCAGATTATTACATCTTTATTTCAGCAAACAGGTGCCATATTTTAAGTTGGGGATCTAATTTTATATGTTTTTCCTTATATAGACAGAACTGGCATTACAATTGTGTTGGGCTGTTGGAGAGCACGGCGGGGGTGGTGGATCTCACAAAGATGCAGCTAGGGAACTTTTTGAAAGTCTTGAGCTACTTTTGTATGAAAATCTTTCATCTAGGTAACATTTTGATAGCTCCCTTTTTCTGTCTTTTATAAAATTGGTAGTGTTGGTTATGAAATGCTGACTTTTATCTTGGTTTTGGAAGTCGGCTAGGCCTGAGGCAGGAGTCTGCTGTTAGTTCTGACAATAGGAACTTCAGAAAGTCATCACAATCAAGGCTTCTGTGTTTTGTTATCACAGCTATTTCGAAGCTTGCTACATATCACCGTGAACTATTGCCAAGGGCACGTGTAGCCTTGGGCAAGGTTGTCTGACTTCAACTTTTTTAACATTTATTTTGGTCAAAATGTTTGTACAGAAAGAAATGAATTCTACAACTTAGGTATGTTGTTTTACAATCTTCTATTGTCAATGTCCAGGTTGCTGGATCTCGAATATCAGATTCAAGGGTTTGGAGGCGAGCTCGCGATTATTTGGGATTAATGAATGAGCCTGCTATTTGTTTGTCTGTGTTGGGGCCTTCCCGACCTTCACATGGACAAATGCACTATCCAGGCACTGTCAACTGGAATGAAGGAGGCACAAAAATGATTGCACATATTCCATTTTACATTCTTGGGGAGCAGGAAGGTAAGAGACCTGCCACTTACCCTCCCCCCCATCCTGTAGTTATTTTCCACTCATGCCAAGAAAGATATAGCATACTGTATTTTCTGTTTTTGAAGAGATGAAATCCATAGGGTCCAGCTCTCATCCATTACTCTTTTGTCCATTTATTTTCAAATTATCATCGCCATTCACATCTGTGGGGTTCATGATTAAAAATTGGAACCCACAATTGTGAGCAATGATAACAAGTGTATTGAAAAGTAATACACAAAAGAATAATGGTGGAGATCTCAACCCAAAATCAATAAACTACTCCAATCCCATAACCCCACCAATCCCTGATTCATTGTTTTTGATAGCATAGATAGAGATGAACTCCTGTATTTGAACTCGTATTCTGAAACTGGAAAAATGGATTTACTGTCTGCCCCCTTTGGAAACATATCCTTTGCAGGAGTTACCACATTGAATGATCCTTAAACCATGCACGGAAAATTCTAGAAAGCCGATTACCTGTTGCATTTACAAGTGTGGATTTCGTAATCATAAATATTCTATTAACTTCATTGTTTCGGATGCAGGTCCGCCCTTCCATGATTTTTCGTTTTCAGATATTCTTCCCAGAAGATGATAGCAACCAACTTTATCCTATAGAAAGGGCATCCCTGGAGTTCCTAATTTTATTGGAGTTTCCAGTTTAGAGATTTATCATTCTTTTTTTCTTGTGATTATGAATTTTTTTGTTATAACATTAGAGTGCATTAGACCCGAATGAAGTACTGGTATCATAGAACATAAATGATCTATTCTTCTTCCTGGTTGATTGCTTTGTATACCTTGAGCTTCTGAATGAGTGAATGTACAAACAAAATTTTTTTATGGGAAATGTACAAACATTTTAAACAAATAAATAAAAGAATTATATGTTGATTAATAGCCCACTGAATCATATTTTTGTACCGTAGCTAATTATTAAATACAATTTGCGATGTTCATGTTTTAAGTCTTCTTGTTCAATGTAAAATTGAAGCACTCTCTTACCTAACTCAATGAGGCCTAGGCACTATCGACTAACTTGCTTGCTTACTCTTAAAAGGAGTATGGTGTTAGTCCGGTTTAGGTTGAGTTACTATTACTCTCAATCTCAAAAAAACTTTATGAATATGCAACAATCTCGTGAGACTATTACTCTCAGCCTCAAGAAAACTTACTTGATGATTATGTAACATTCACATTTATAAACTTTTCAAGATCTCTTATCTGATATGAGATTGAAACATTTAATTTTTTTAAAATGTTTAAAATAAAAATTAAATGTGAATTTCTAATCTAATCTCTTTAATTCTACTCTGCTTTTCTTCTCGCGGAAATTGTTTTTCCAAGTTAAAAGTATTGGTTTTGAGAATTGATATTTGTTCAAATTTTCATCTCAGAACTTTCAAACAAAATGCCACATAATGAAAAAATAGGGCCACAGTAGATTAAAGACGGAGAAGAAGAAAATATAGCCACAAATACAATATTGCTTACTGCCATGGGTTTTATACAATAAATGTTTTTTTTTTTAAATGTATGAAGTTCCCTTCTTACAGGAGGCAAACCTAGTAACACAACCTTAAAGTTCCAAACACCTCAGTTACATGTATATTTGACAATGTGCACAACATAGAAAGATACATTGATACAGAACAACGAAATCCCAAAGGTGCAACGCATTCGGATTTGTTCATTCCTTTCTGTGAAGGAAGCAATTCCTATGTGAGCTAACAAAAGCTGCAACATTACATCTTGAGATCGACAATGCATGAACCTTTACATCTGCTGGAAACATACCATGGTAAAAGCTGTATGTCAGGTTTTAAACTTGATATCGATCACTTTCTGGCAGATTGGTTTCCAGATCCATCAGGCATGAGAGCTTTCTTGATGGCATTAATAGTTTTTGATACGATGTCATCCATGACTCCAAATGCATTCACAGGTATATTGTCGTCGATGAATGACCTGTCACCACGGTGAAAAACTAAATTTAGGATACTTCCCTCAGTTTCCTGTGCTTGCCATGGTGGTGGCAGATCAGGCAGAATGGTAAACCCTGATGCCAGAATCGCTGCAAAATTGGGGTTTCCACCATTCAAGATCATGGACATGCCAAAGATATCCATGGGTGCATATACCACATATGACCCAGTTTCGTCTGAGAAGCTTTCTTGCAGGAGCAGCATGTGAATTTTGCTTGGAGAAGACTGCAAAATGAAGTAATAAGTCTAGTTAGTGCATGGAGAAAAACAGCGAAATTAGATCAATAATTAAAGGCATGCAAGAAAATGGGAATGGTTCAGGAAAACTCACATTTACTTTCACAACAGAAACACGATTTTCACGATTTTCACCATTTTGGACATAAATAAGTTCTCGGACGGATCGACCAAATGAAATATGATCCCACTGCATTATTTAAACCATAAGAATTGAAAATCAAGATTTCTACCTTGGAAGTTACTAAATGAAAAGTTCTCCTATTGTTTGGAATGGGGAGAAGCAAAGAGCATATAAAACTTTTGCATACCTGGTCTCTTGTGCGCTCATCACGAAGAAAATCAAAGAGTATCTTTGGTGGTACTGGGAGACGAAGTGTAGTTGTGAAGATGATTGTGCCAGTAGGAGGCTTTTCTGGAGCATTGACAATTTTTCCCAATCTGTACCTAATATCCTGGTCATGAGTCATAGCTCCAGGTGCGCGCAACCAGAAATTCTCTGAACAAGAACTAACATTGTTGAAGAAAGTTCTAGTCATCCTCTCACTCAGCTTCAACAGGCTCTCCCTCCCAACTTGTGGTATGAACACTGTGCAAACAAGTTACATAAGTTAACCATCCAAAGTAATTATGTAACCACACATAGATGTATTAGCTTCGGTATGCAATCAGAAATGGGAAAAAAGTTTTACCGCTAGCATTTGTTGGACTAGTTCTAGCCATTGAAGTTGCTAGCCATTGACAATGTCTATTTATCATTGCAATCCATCGCTTGGCACTAAAGGCAGAACCAGACTCAACAAAGGGACGAAAAATGGGGTGGACTGATCCATTATCAACTTGCGCATGTTCCACCCATGTAACCTGATGACGAAATGCAAACAACAAAACGTAATGTTGAGATAAGAAGCAAGTGAAGTTGCCAAAACTTGATAAAATTTTGACAAATCTGGGTTACCCTAGAGCTTTCATTTGGCATTTCTTCGATTATACATCCTGATGGACTTCTTCGGAACTGTACATGTGTACTAGGGAATAGGTTTTCCAAGGAGACATCAACAACTCCCCATGTTCCCCTAGCTATCTGCTTAGAATACCTTGCGAAATAACTCTGTCGACTAGGAATTAGTGGTGAGGAGTGGTGAAACTCTGCTGCTATCTAGAAAAGCAAATTGGAAGAGCATCATCAGTATGGATACTATTCTTCAGAAACTATGACTTTTTGTAGAATTTGAATGAAAAATGGCAACTCAAGAGAACTTACAAGAACTAAAACTAATCGAATTCAATGATATATGCATAGAGGAGGTGGGAATTTGTTTCGACATCAATGACAAATCAAAATTAGAAATCATGATTTGGAGGTCATATGTTTTAGTTGCAGAAGCAATTAATCTCTCTATTAAGGGTGAGATTGTGATATCTTACCCTCCTCACACCTCGCAATTAACAAAGAAATATCGGGCTTTATGTAAACAATGTTATTCGAAGCTTTTGCATTTTTTTTTCATATACGAAGTAATATAATTGGTCTATTAAAGAAAAATTCGTAAAATAATTGAATATTTATATATATGCTATTTACAGAACTCAAAACGTTTTAAATGTATCTTCGTCTATTACGAAGAGTTTCATGCTTGCAATATTACTGATATTAATACGTTAATAAATCAAGTGACAAGTTCATTATTACATTTCGAATGAAAGAGATAAAATATAGATAATTTTTAGGTTTACCACTTGAACCCTCCCGAAATCAAGTGACGAGTTCATTATTGCATTTCGAATGAAAGAGATAAAATATAGATGATTTTTAGGTTTACCACTTGAACCCTCCCGTCATAGCTCCCATTAGCACCATGCAATATAACTCCTATCAGTGTTGCTCTGGAGACAATACTGGGAAATGCTGCCAACCATTGCCTCTGATCATAGAACAAGAAAAACATACAAGTGAAGATATTTCATTAAGAACTAATTCATAAATTAAACTTAGAAAATTAAGTGAATAAAAAAAACAAAGGAAAAACCTACCGAATCCATGAGTAATTCAACAATACTGACAGGTTTCATATCAACTAATCCAGTCTCTCGGGAACCTTCAATATACAATGGATTGAATTGAAACTCTGCAAGGGGAAATGTTGGCATGTCTTGATTGCCACCAGGGCTTGGCGAACGTTGAGGTCCACCTCTTTCAACCAATTTTATTATCATATCCGCTGTGAGATCATACCTTCTAAGTAGTTTTAGGTATTGAATCCCATCCAAAATCTCCATATTATCTTTGCGTTGCCATAGAGGTTCACCCATCGATGCCATTTTCTTTAGCTCTTCCAAGGCTTCCTTAGCTTGTTCAATGATCTCATTCCTTTTAGTATCAGGACAGATTGAGAATGCCATAAGAATATCGCTTGCTCGATGCATTTTATACATTGGAACATTTGTGGATGATCCTGAACCAGGCGATTCTGAACCTGACGGTCTTGAACCTGGTGATTGGGGACCTAGTGAGTTGTTTTGTGGAGGTTGAGGATTAGTCACCGAGAGGGAACCAACACCTTCATGGTCTCTTCGTCGTCTATGACCCCTCTGAATTTGAGACAAAAAGAAAAATTTTAAGACAAACACAGATCAAAGATAATTAGAAAAGAAAAATAGTCTTAATTCTTATAATATAAGCCTCAGCTTCATGGATATTGTTTAGAAATGATTAGAACCATGGAAACACGAAAAGAAGATCAAGATAATCAGAGAGAAGTATCCTCTTTCCTCACATATTTATCTTGTTCATCATCGTGAAATGGACTTCAAAATCTAGGGCTTCTTCGGTTCTATTTCATTTGTAAAGCATGGATCAAGTTCTTTACAAAATGATTAGTACATGAACCTATGTTAGATTCATTTGCTTATCAAATTTAATCAAATCTAAATATATATTTCAAAGACAAGATCAAAGAAAGAGTATGGAATAGTAAACAATATGAGAATCTACCTGTGGGTTCCTTCTAGGAGGATCTAACCCTAGCGGCTGTTTACCCACACCTATTCCATCCCTACGAACTGGTGGCATGTCTCCTATAGAACTTAATTATCAAAACCAGAAAACACATAGAATCAAACTCTAGCATCATAATTCATTAGTAAAATAAGAATTAAAAACAACACATTTCATATACATATATTTCTATAAAAAAGAAAACAAAAGGAGAAACTCATAGAAGTCCACACTCATCCCTAAGTCCTACTCTACTCTCACTATAATCAAAGTAGAGTTGTTCCTCAAGGTTGATCCTCTTAGATACTATCACTCCCATTTGCTCTATTTCACCCCCACACTATCCATCTGCAACATTAATTTTAAACTCTTTTTAAAAGTTTATCTAACAACTAAAACCCATATCAAAAGACTACAAATTTTCTCCAATTCCTTTCTTCTCTCCTTAACCTATATCAATCAAAATGAACACAAAAAATCATGAAAAACAAGTGAAAAAATGCAAATGAAAGAAAAATGAACATGGATATAGATAAGATAACAAAACTTAAATCTATAGTTTTCATGCATCTACCCATACATGACTTTGAAAATCAAATTGAAAAATTGAAAAAAAAATGAAAACCATACACTAAGACAACAGATGAACAGATCACTGTCTTTTTGCTCTAGAGTATCACACTCAAGTTGTCTCATCACTACAATATAATCATAATTTATATTGCTTTTTGGGGTTTTCGATGGAAATGGCAAATTGAGAAAGTTGGCGTCAGTGTTGGGAAAGAGCATCCGATAGGCACGTAGAAAGCAGTGTGGTGCCAGGTTGAAAAGGTTTAATTGCTTCAGTTTCTTTGCTAATGTGGCAGTATATGGCAGTATGATGTGGCAATTCTTTGCAATTTGACTGGTTAAGCCTTTATTAGGCCAGTTCATTCATGGCATTGCGTGCCTCAGGTGGATTTTTTTTTGCTCGTGGGGTTGGTGAGGATGTTTTCATTTATTCAATCATGTTTTTTTCGTGCCATTACCCTAACCCTAATTATTACTTTTCTTTTTTTTCCTATTAGATTCCTTTTTATTTGTTGTACATATTAATTGCTTTTCTAAGTTCAAGTTTTTTTATCCTCATCATTAAAAAAAAAAACTTAAAATCGAATTCAGATTTTACGAGAATTTATGAGAATTTTTTTCTTGAAGAATCATGCAAGCATTACGTAGGAAAAATTAGACTGAATAAAAGATCAATATCTCACTATGTATTTTTCCGAAGAATGTAGATTTCTTCGTAAATATTTTTATTCTCATTATAAACGTGATCATATACTTTCTTCGTTATCATATCTTATTTTCTTAATAGTTTCTCTAGAGCATTAAAATGTACACACATATATACATGTATTGATATTTTATTATCTTAAAGAATTATTTGTGGTTACAATTTTGAGCACAAGCTTTTCCCTTCCCTCTACCAAAATGTTCCGCAGGAATTTAGTCAATCAGCCTGATGAAGATTGGGCAAATTCCAAACTTATCTAGGTTTTGTTCCTTTGGCTACAACAAATTTAGAATTTAATTTCAATTTTTTAAAAAAATATATAATTTTTATGTAATGAAATATTAAAAAGTATAATTATTTAAACTTTTAGTTGTAATTTTTCATATTTAATAGCAATATAAAAATGTGATCGTTGCTAGTATATACAAATCTTTATATATTGTAAAAAAAATTAAAATAATGTCGGTAATCAAATTTATAAAAGTGTTGTAAAAAGTATATAAAAATGTTACTAAAATCATATTTAATAATATATTTGTGAAATATGTAATTTTAAATCAAATTTGTTATAGTGTTTATATTTTCGAAGTCAATCCAATCTCATGAAAGAATACATTTGTAAATTATGCAGTTTTAAGTCAAATTTGATATTATGTTACATTTCCGAAGTCAATCCAATCTCAAGAAATTATTTTTTTGACCGTCGTAGTGTTGATTGACCTTCAATTTTTTTTTTTAATTTCGGATTGATGGTATAAAGCTAAACACAGAAAAAAGATAGTTAATACAATTAATTATTAGTATGCTATCTTGTAACAATTTGTTCAATCAATAATTATATTATATCAAATCAAAATATAGATTTATTTTCTATATAGATGACTTGTTATCATAGGTAGGTGGAGAAAGATAATATGAGAAAATAATTGATATTGGTTACAAAATTATTCTGACAATCAGTGGCTTAGCTAGCTTGAAGAAAAAGGCTGAGCAGGCTATATATATATATATAGACTTGTAGCTCTAGAAATGGAGTTTCTAGAGGCTTTCCTTATCTTTGTATTTACGGTTCTTAATTTGAATGAAATAAATACAAATTGTTAAATGAAAATATCAATCATATGTAAATAGCTAATTAAAAATGGCATTAATACATAAATTTGATTAATTCATATATAATGTGAAAATTTTGTCTAACGTTTGATAAAAATACTTGTCTAATACTTGATTTATAAGTGATATGATTTGTAATTTATTGGTTTGAATTTGTTTTAATTTTACTTTTTATTTGATCATTTTTAATGAAAAAATCTTACAAGGTTTATTTAAGTCTTGTCCCGATTTGTCTCCCATAAATCTTACCAATTTACCAATTAGTACTTAAAATTTTTAATGAAAGAACATACGAACTTTTTTCATGTCTTGTCATGATCTTTATTTCTTGTAAATCTTATCAGTTTACCAATTGATACTTAAAACTTTTAATGAAAAATCTTACGAAGTTTATTCAAGTTTTACCCTATCTTTATCTCTCATAAATCTTACTAATTTACCAATTGGTACTTAAAATTTACAAATTTACATATAAAATGATTTTCTACATAAATCATTAGAAAAGATAAGGAAAATTCACAAACTTACACTATCATTTTTCTGATCCTTTTATTTCTTGATGAACCAAAAATAGCTCTATTAATCAAAGGGCTCTTTACTTCTTTTACAATTTTATAGTATTACTTGAATTTTTGGCAAATTTTTTGTCGCTTTACCTTTGGCAGTTTTTAAGGATTTTCACTGCAGAAAGTACGGCCTTTATTACTGTAAATCGCTGCATGATTGACAGTTTCCCCCAACTGACTCACAAAGACTACATCTACCTCCATATCTCAGTACATTTTCCAGCTTAATAATTTGAAGCATTCATAGGAAAAGAAAAGATTGTTCAAAGCATTCCATCACTTACTATTATCTTTCTAGGTTCTATAGGACTTATGCCAAAATAAATAAATTGTTCTCTGTTTGGAGAGTTACAATTGAAGTAACCCCAAACTTTTATCAAATAAAATATTAAAAGGTTTATATATATATATATATATATATATATATATAAAGATTATCTATTTTGATCATTGGGTATAATATACATTGATCTTCATCTCAAAAGCTTCCGGCTTTGGAAACCAAAGCATAAAATGCTTTTAGATTTCATTTACGAGCATCTTAAGAACGATATTATTCGAAAAATATTCTTAAGATGCGTTAAATGTAATAATTTACAATTAATCATTGGAATAATATTTAATATATATGAAATGAAAACATTATTTTTAATTATAATCTTAATTAATAAGTATTTTGATAACCGAAAAAAAAAATCTTGATAACCCCGTCTGAAGAATTTAACACTTTTCACTATAAATCCTAATTAAATGTTACCATCGACAAGTCATAATTGGATAATATTTAATATAGTGAATGAGAAGTACATTATTTTTAATTGTAAACTTCATTAACAAGTACTTTTATAGCACTGGAAAGAAGAACCCATCATTTTTCACAATAAATCTTAAACTAAAATCGATCTTACTCTTTCTTTGCGGCTAAAAGTTAATCGATCTTCACTTCCAAGGTTTCTAGTTTTGGAAATTGAACCGTAAAACACCTTTAGATTTTGATTTCGAGCATATTCTTAAGAAAGATGTTATTCGTAAATAAATTCTTACAATGCGATAAATGTAATAACCGACAAGTAATAAACAGATAATATTTAATATAACTTTAATTAACAAGTACTTTCGTAACACTCAACAACAAAAATTTAACACTTTTCACCACAAATCTTAAATTAAAATCGATCGTACTTTTACTTTTCAGCTAAAAAGTAATCACTGTTTGTTGAAAAACAAAATTTGGGAGGCTTTGAAAGAAGAAGAAGATGGCGTATACGAGTGTGTTGTTGATTCCTTCATATGTTTGATTTTCAAAAAAATAAGGAAACATTACAGAAGTAGAGAACTTGTTAGGCAAGAAAGAACCGTGTTATGTCACAATTCTTACCTAAAAATTCTTCAAGGACCATACCACAAACAAGATAAGAGACATCAGTTAACAAACAGCAATGTCTCGGCCCGCATATATATATTGAACTATGAAAGACCTAAATTTCATGGCCAAACATTGTTAGATATCAGGACCACCTCCTTCATCTCCACTTCTCATGGAAAACCAAACAAAATTTTTTTGTTCGTAATTTTCATCATAAATTATATATATATATATATATAGAGAGAGAGAGAGAGAGAGAGAGAGAGAGAGAGAGTAAAACTAGTTAAGCTAGCTAATTTATAGCATGTACAATTATTTGGTGTAGACTCGAAGAATGATTGAATTCTTTATATTATATACATATATACGGATGTACATATATATATATATATATATGTATGTGATCAATACCATCTTATGTACTTCTATGTGTGTGTATATAAATTACTTTTGTAGTCTAGTAATAACCGATTAAGTATTTTTCTTAGAAAAATGTTCCCAAGAAAGTAATTATTTTTATTTGTTAAATCTTAATATATAGTAATTAGATTATGAAAAAAAATCATAAGTGCAACCTTAATTAGCACAGGTATGAAACCCCAAAAAAAAAAAGAGAAAAGAATGAAAAATAAAAGTGGGAAAATGACCCAAATCCCTAATTTCTCGATTGGTTTAATCGAAAATGTGGGGACATGACTAATTTGTCTTTGAGCTCGACCTCACATGGGGCAAGAAAGTGCAGTCAAGGGAGGCGCACGTGGGGCATGAAAGCCCCCCGCATGTGATTTCTCTCATTCATTTTTGTGTCTTTGTTACAGAAAATTGATAGGTGAAAGTGGCCTTCCTCTAACTATGACCAAAATCTTTGTGTACATCTCTATCATTGACAACAAAGGAAAACATACACATGAAAAGAAAAGAACAGAACAAGCTTCACCTAATTTTAGAACAATATTTTTCTTTGAAGAGTCATCTTATCTTCTAGGAGGACACCACTAATTTTTCATAAAATTCACTTCTTCTTGTCGTAAAAAACCAGAGTGATGTATCATTGTTTCGGAACAAATCTCGTATAATTATTACATTATAATTAATCAGTTACAATATAATAATTTATAAAATCTGTCAAAATATTATATGAAACTCGCATTTATAAATGATTCATGGGACTATGATAAAATGAATTACGACGAAATGTGCTACCCGTCATCTTCCCTTTTGTAAACATGGAAAATTATTGCCTCAATCTTGGGACTCCTTAACATGTCAACCACATTTTGGTTCAACCTCATGTTAGGTATATAGGCTTCTCATATGACCCATCTTTAAAATCTTAAAAACAAAAAATGTTTTAGAATCCGATATATTATTTCATTTTGAAACACTTTGAAATTAATTAATATTGTGAGTAGGCCATCGACAACAGGGTTTTTTTTTTTTTCAAAGGTGACACCTAATTTTGATACCTTGTTAAGGATCACAAATACCTTATCTATCTAATTATGTCAATTTCCAAAATGGAAATAAAAATATTAAGAAGCTCAAGCTTTAATGACATGATCAGGTCCCTCAAGATGATGAAGCCTTTGCCAGAAAAATTTTTGACTTATTTGACAGTTGACACAAAAATAATGTTTTTTTTAAAAAAAATTAGAAACAAATCTTCATCAAATCTTCTATCCAAATAATGCTATAAAGAAAAAAAAATACAAAAGTCAATAATATTAGATTATTAGTGACAACAAGATGAAAAATGTTCTTATTTTATAACACACACAAAAAAAAAAATTGGGAATCTTAGGATTTAAGGACTTACATGTAAATGGCTAAGGGATATTGAAAGACCAGAATAGAAGGTTAACAAGAAATGAGTAAATGAGAGTTAAAGGTGTTTGCATATAACAAGGCAAAAGTCTATGGTGATTGAGGAAACAATGTGAAAGAAACCTTCCAAAATGTCCTTTACAATGGACTCCCACCATGAAGACAATGTGAGGTTTCCCTTGGTCCCCTCACATGAAAGTGTTCTTATGGAAATTGTTTTTTTATGAAGATTTTATTTGATAGCTTAACCAATTAATTATGGATTATTTCTTCAGATTTTGATTCTTATGAAGGAAAATTAATCATGGTAATCTTCTATTTATGTAACGATGATTAACTTGTAATCTCATATATGTTATTACTGACAAAGTTTCCTTTTTTTTATGTTTTATTAGAAGAAAGAGCAATTCAAACTTATCTTTTTGAGTAAGAGATACATATATCTGCAATCATTTAATCAAACGCTCGAGTGTAGAGTATTACTAATAATTCATTGATTCGGTCAAGGAAATGATGCATTCCAATATCTAATCACCCTAATAATTGCACTTGCAAAAGATAGGTTAAGACATCGGATAAGGCCCCCTAATTTTCTATTCCTAGTACTAAGTACTATAGTAATTGTCTCCTCAATGTTATGAAATATTAGAAGAAGAGATATAGAAACAGAAACACAAGAAAAGAGGTAAAAACGACGTGAATTCGTCATTTTCGTTTAACTATCAGTTGCCTTTCGTAATGAGAGATAATTTTTTCTTATTTCATAAAATAACTGAAACAATATGAATATCAACTTATCACATATCCATGAAAAAAAAAAAAGAAGATAAAATTAACATGAAATCACTACTTTTGTTTAATTATTAATTATCCTACATAACAAAAGGTAATTTTCTTTTATTTCGTAAAACAACTAAGACAATATGAGAATCGACTTTTCGTATATATCGATATCTATAAAATTTTACTTCGTGAAAAGTTAATTTCGACGAAAGAAAAATGAGAAATTTAATTTGATATGTTTCACGATGAGCACATTTGCGTATGCAAATGCAACCGAAAATAAGATAATTATTCATCAATAAGTGTCAGCCAAAACCAATCAAAGAGGTGGCAAAAGAATTTGGCAGTGAAAGCGATGGGCTAACATTATTTTAAGCTTTCTGAAAGTGCTTTTGATGGGATTATTTTAATGGTGGGTTCTTGGCTTAAGTCAATATTCTGAAACTCATATATTCCTCTTCAATGATGGGAGCATGTATATCTAATTCAACGGATGACTGAAGAAGAAGAAGAAGAAGAAGAAGAAGAAAGATTTTCAAATTATTCAGGTATAGCAACAGAAAGTCTTTCCTTTTCTGACAAATACTTCAAGAATTCAAAGGAAACCATTGATGAACGGAAGAATTATGAATTAACCATGATGATTTGGTTTAATGGGACTGGCTATTTTAGAGATTTAAGATCAAAGGTATTCAATTTCATCGATTTTTGAACATAAAGTAATGAAATTGACAAAATTTATTTATTAAAAGTTTTGATTTCGTTATTTTTTTATTCATAAATTAATGAAATTAAAAGTATAATGATAAATTTTAATAAAATAAATTAAAGTACAGTGATTAAATTTACCTTATATCTCTCCTAGCTAAGGAATTAACATGAAAATTAATCAGAGATCATTAGAATATTGCCAAAATGAACAGATGCTTTGATGAAATGTATGAATGAGAAAATGAACAAACCAAATCTCTTGAGATGAAAAAGTAAAAGAAATGACTGAAAGGGCTAGTCTGACCATGTGACTTAAGTGACTGATTCAACACACTTAGAGGAAAGGTAAGTTGAAAACAAAATCTCTGTTGGTGCATAGAGATCTAATCTACTGCCACAAATGTCAAATCTCACTCCTCCTTTGCAGCCAAATGTAACTTCTCTCCTCCCCAACTCTCCATTTGGTCCACACCCACCAAGATTCCAAACTCTCTCAACTTGTCTATTGTTTTTCTCTCTACTATAAATATAGTTTTTCAGGGGGGTTCGTCAGGAGTCATCAGCTCTCTCTCTTTTCTGATCTTCAATATTGTCCTATAAGCTTTCTCTCTTCTTCTTCTTCTTCTTCTTCTTCTTCTTCTTCTTATTGTTTTCATAGAATATGGAGAGTTCCATGAATTCTATGGGCAGATCACCAGTCTCTCTTTGTGAAGCTGATGAATCTCCTGAGGAGAGTAGTTGGACTATGTATTTTGAAGATTTCTCAAATAATAACAATGATGTGGATGTTGAAAACAGCTCTTTTTCTTCTGATATCAATTACCAAAGCTCATCTCTGGTTTCTGATGCTGCTTGTTCTGCTGCTGGAAGACATGTTTTCGGAGCTCCTTTAGGTAAAAGCTGTAACAGGTTGAGTTTCAAGAAGAAGAAGGGCAATAAAGGACGTTTGGTTGATGATGATTTGGAGGATACAGCTAGTTCTCCTGCAAATAGCCCCAAGGTCAGCCTATGTTTCTTTCCAAACATTATTAAAAAAAAAAAAAATCAATGTCAACGTCTTGTTTTCCTTAATAAAATTGCACCATTTTTGATAGGTTTGTAACTTAATCAACCACTTTGATAAGAACCTGAAGCAGAAAGATGTGATGGACATATCTCAGGTAAGAAATCAATTAGCTTTGTTTTGATTAATTCTGGCCATATAATTTTCTTTTTTGCCAGGTTCATGGTATACATGCTAACTAGGGTGCCTTTTCTTGCAATTCTTTTTATAGGAAAAAGGCCGTGCATCAGGACAAATAGATGAAAGAAATGATGAGTTGGGTCTTATAGGAAGAGAAGATGATGGCACTGAACTAAAGAAAATGGGTCTTTGTTTAGTTCCTTTGTCTATGGTAGTACACTATCTAGGTTGATTTCAATTCTATTACAGCACCCTCTCTCTCTCTCTCTCTCTCTGTGCATCAATGAAAAGAATGCTGTTGTGCATGATGATAAAATTAAGAGCTGCCATTGTTTCTTGCCTGCAACAATTGAAGTATGCAAAATTATGTTCATAAAACGGATAAAAGTTCAGAAGAAGGAAGCCCTCTTCAGTTTCATGTGTGGAAAAGGATTAACAACCGGCAGAGAGATCAATAGAAAAAAATACCCAAAGGACAGATTGATCCCAACTAGCTGGAAGTCAACATTAATGACCTATATCCTTACATCAAGACATACATCAAGAAAAGGTCAAACAATGTAAAAATATTTTGGGAATACCTACCCTTCCAACACAGTTCAATTCCTACTTGTAACAACAACCCGCCTATTTTTTTAAAAAAGGCAAATGGAGATTTTTATTGAGATAATATAACCAAGGTTAATTAGAAGAACACTAAGAGATATCTCAAGGCTAGTCAAATTACAAGAAGGTAGAAAAACTTTTTGTGCATAGTATTTTAATTTTTGTCAATTGATCATCATATGAGTTTGATTATCTTAAAAGGTGATTAAAAGATAAATAACTCTCAGTACAATTTAATTTTTCACGAGGCTCTGTCAACATTAAAAGCGCATCTCAATTCTTAATTTTTAATTGAAATCGATATTCATTGAATCAATAGCTGATAGTTGACCATATAATTTAAAATTGTGTTAGGCAAAAGAGGAACATTTGCAAGTGTAGATTAAAGCATATACCCTTTTAATGTAGAACTCAAAAGAAATAATTCAACATGAAGGTCCTGATCGTCGCCCATGAGAGGAAAAATGTTGACCAATCATAGTTACACTTTATGTAGTTTCTTTGGGCCATTCCCAAACCATAATTGAACACAAAGAGAAAAAAGGGAGAACAAATAATATTTTTTTCCAACTATATATGCTTTGCAAAATACCACTAAATCCCAAACTAGGTTAGCAATTATTTCCCATTTTGAGACTGTAAATAGTTCCAAGATAACAACATGCAAGAGTTCTTTCCTTAAAAGTGATCAAATTTTTTTCCTTTTTTAGGTCCAATTCTTTCTTATTTTCCTTCTTAAAAGAACAGTACCACAGTCCATTTCGACTGTGGTTAGGCAGTGTTCTGCCTCTCTCGTCCACCCTCCCAAACGTCAGCTGATGTCAAGCTGCACCATGTAACCAAAGCTTGGTTCCTTTCTTCTTATAATTATCATTTGAACTACGTCTCCAACAATAAAAATATTACTAAAATAAATTGTATACACCCCAACATTTTATTGAATGATAGGTACATATATTTTTTTATTTAAAAAATTAAATTCGAATATTTTTTTTCAACAATGCACGTTTGTTCAAGTTTATAAATTTTTTTTTTACAAATTTTATCTGAAGAGATTGATGGTTAGTGTTGTAATTTCCATAGTTTTATTAGAAAGCAACATTCTTGCTTAAGCAAAAGCAAAACCAGCCCGAGCCGCCTCATCCTTCAACTTCTTGCCTGTTCAATCTGGCCAGGAAGATGTCAAAAGCAAGATGTGCCACCAAATACAAAATACTGAGGGGGTTTGTCAGGAATGCTTTTGTCACCAAAAGAATTATTCCAAAAGGTGCTTTCTTTCATCATCACATTTTAAGTCAAACTAATACATCTTTAAATAGGTTATTATATGAAGGTAATACATCATCTTTGAAAAAAATAAAAATTCTTTTAAAAAAATTAACTACTTTTCTTTATGAATCAAAAAACATTATTTTTGGATTTTCTTTATGAATGAAAAAAACATTAATTTTGGGTATCTTTTTATGTCTTATGGATTCGATTCTATTCGATCATTACTTGAAATTTTAGATTAAATGATGGGTTAATTAGTAATTTCAGAAATATAAATAATGGTAAAAGTGACAATTAAGTATCATAAAGAAATTCCATCCAAGCAAAAAAGACTAGATATATGTGTTGCCTCTCTAAAAATGGGAAAAAAAAATTGACAACACAAATAATTGAAGGCTTCTTATTCTGTTTGCATGCAAGAGGAAGGACTGAAAAAGGTAACAAGATATATGCCAAAGACCAAACCAATGCCCCCCAAAATATGCAACTTTCTTGTGGCTTGCGTTGATGCAAACAGATATGGATCCAAGCATTCTGGTCAGACTCTAAGAAAAGCAGGTTTTATTTACCTGGTGGAACTTGAACATGTCTATTGGGACAAAAACCACATGCTCAAAGGAGAAGAATATGAAAAGATACAATCCATGTTTTTTCTTTTGACCTTGATTGGTCTTGAAAAGGGTTTCTGCCTTTCCCATTTGCCATTTTTGACATACCATTCCTTCGCTTGGCTTGCAGAACCAGTCTAATCAAAGTCATTTCCATTGTTCTTGAGCAGTTTTTGTATTGATCCAAATTCTAGAAATGTTTTCAGATATGAGATAAAAAGTGAAACCCCACTCTTATTTGGTATGAGCTTACTCTTGGAAGGTAAAAGTAAAATGAAAAAACATGCGCATCCGGGGAATCCAACCCCGGTCAGTACCGTGGGAGGGTACTATGATACCACTACACGAGATGCGCTTGAACTGAGAAGTGAATTTGACACTTCTCTTCAATAGCAGATCTCTTGGCCTTTCTTATACCAACTTACGTTGACATCCTAAATTACATCAAAACCATTGTATTTGGTATAATTTTGGGTGATTGTACCTTCAATTAAGCTAATTGCTTTAGTACTATTGAACAGATAAAAGAGTAACTTCAGAGTTTACAACCAAAGGCATGCTTGGTTTCAAAGCGATGTCCCTCCCTTGAAACAGAAAGGTACTCGCAGAAATGAAGGCATTCATGTGATTCAAGAACACAAACTATCCCATTTCTAGCATCATCGACCTGTTTAACAAAAGGAAGTTTCTATTGGGCTCAGTCCAGTTTCAAACATTGGGTTTGATGACAATTCGAGACTGGTAAAATGCAGCACCATAATACTTTCTTTGCCCCTCCATGGCAGAGACATAGGTTTAGGTCATTTCAAGATTGATTTCCATTGAACTTTCGACTTAAAACAGACATCTGATTAGTTGCGCTCACCGGAAACTAGCAACTGATATTGAGGGTAAAAAGGGCTGTTTATTCGAAGTGAATTTTCATATCATTATTTTTATTTCTAATCAATTTGAAATTTTTCATGCAAACAAGCATTCAACAATGTTTAGGACTATGAGGAGACTTGAAGTATACAGGCCTACTTTTTCTCAGGAAGCTTCTCTAACAAGTCCGGGATCACTTCGAAAAGATCGCCCACAAGTCCATAATCAGCTACCTGCACCAGATGTAAGAATATGGAATGCATCAAGAATCAATCAGCATTTCACATCTTTGTCTGTAAAAACACATGGTCATATATGCACCTTTTTGCGTACGTATGCTTGCATTCACATTACTGTGACAGACAGAGAACTGAGGGAGAGGGGAGGACAGATGGATGTGTGTATAATAGGAAGGGAGGATTTTTACCTGGAAAATGGGTGCATCTGCATCTTTGTTAACGGCAACAATAACCTTGGAATCTTTCATGCCTGCTAAGTGTTGAATCGCTCCTGAAACCCCAAATGCCAAGTATAGTTCTGGGGCCACAATTTTTCCGGTTTGACCAACCTGACAAGATAAGTCTTACAAATCAGATCAGGCAGGAAAAACATATCTAAGATAGTAATGTGGACTACAAATTTAATATCTTTTGAGCTATTTCAGTTTTTGATTCTCCTTCAAATGTGAATGCATTTTTCTTGAAAAAACTAAGATACATATTATATATCCTAGGAAAGATTATAAACCTTGGCATCTTTACATTTCATCATCAAATAGCAAATTGATAAGATGCATGCGTGGGTGTGTGTGTGTTCTTGGTTGGTGAAATGAGAGAAATGGGGCAACATATCAAGAATTCCTCATCAAAGCAATGCATGACAATAATAGTTTCAATGTTCCACTTGAATGGCTTAAAGACAGAACCAATCAAAAAGTACATAATAACATGCTTGTAAGTTAAAAAGAACCATATGAATCTTACCTGTAGTTCATTGGGAACAAATCCAGCATCAACAGCAGCACGGGTAGCACCAACTACACCAAAAAAAAAAAAAGGACAAGAAAAAGAAGAACCACTAACCTTAATATCATGAAAATTTAAAACACTTACAAAAATGACATCTATACGAAGAAAGACATGACAACGACAACAATAGAATGAGGATTTTAAAAGTTCAGGATAGTAGAGTTCTTGAAGCTAACCAGCTGCACCAAGTTTCTCTGCTAGCTTCTCTATCAGTTTGAAGTTCTCAGCACTTTTTAAAGCTCGGCCCCCAGTAACCACAATACGTGCACTTCCCAAATCAGGGCGCTCTGTATCCTCAGATAATAGCTTTATGTATCTAGATTTACCGATAGAATCTGCAATCAAAGTATGACCTTTAAGGTCAAGACATGGCATAGACTCAAGTTGCACACTCAAAATTAGCTCAGATAAACTAATCAGTTAGAATTCCCAAAAGTTTTCTTAAGATAAAATTTGTTAACATTATAATTCCTCAGGCACATGAAATATGCAGCGAAAACTATAAGAATCCAAATGCCTTCTTTTTTGTTCCTTTCTTCTCTGAAGCAGGAAGGGAAAAGATAACTTTCAAGGCAGAGACAAGCCAATTTGAACATCTATGCATCAAGAAAAGGTAAACAGACCTTCATCTAAGGTTGAGAGATCAACCTGAGAAATAGGAGCCCTATCAGATTTTAAATCACCCGAGATTGGAGGCACTGGAAAAGAGGTGGATCTAATTGTCAACATACATGGGCTGGAACCAGTATATCGAACTGTACAAAGGGCATTTCCAGCAAAAATTGGCCTGTTACATAGATAGTATACTTCAAAATCAGTTCAACAAAGAGGCACGTTAATGATTCATTACCACAGGCAGGATTATGCAGAATACATGATAATCATTTTGAGTCACTTTCCTATGGTCCCTACCCCTATAATCTACACAGTTTCATAAAGGAAACAAACATAGTAACAGCAAAATTTAAGCTTTAAAGTTACAAATTGATCATAAACATCGAACCAAGTAACACATACTATAACTACGATTGAAAGAAACTAGAATTACTATTAGATGGCCTAAATCATTGCAATAAAGCTCAAACCCAAGACCCCTCTTGGCCCTTGACTGGCAAACAACTAGTAGACAATCAAATGAACCTAAAAATACTATAGCCTACACTTTAATCACTTGACATTCTGATAAACGTCCCATGTTTTTAAAAGTTCAAGCGTATCAACACAACTCAATCAACTCAACTTGCATGACAAGCAACAACAATTCACATACAACACAAACAGTATCCATCAAAGTACAGAGGTAGTATGACAAAGTAAATTTTACCTGACAAATTGATGGGATCCAATAATTTCAACAACATCAGTAACTGGAGAAACATCCAAAAGGGCAGCGGCACGAGGCAATATGTTCTTCCCGAATGAACCTGAAGTAGCAATGACATGAGAATAGCCTCCTTGCTGCTGAACCAGTTGGACTAACTTAGACCATGGCTCAGCCAAAGGATGTTCAAATTTATCAGAATCAGCTACAAGAACCTACAATGAAACAACAGTCTTAATAATATTAGTAAAAACCCCCAATTATTTGCATTTTTTATTTACTAAAACTAACAAGAAATTCAAAAATTAATAACATAAATCAGAAAATAAGTGAAATATTATCAGTAAAAGGCAACTTATACAATTCTAACCTCACGTGCGATTTACCTGAGAAAGAGAAGGGTGACACGTGGCGGCACTCTCGGCGGCCTTTAGAAGGGAAGAACCGGAGCCAGCCAACAGCATGGAAACGGAATTGTTTGTCACCAATGGAGCTGGCGGCCACCACCGCGCTCAATGACTGAGCCTTGATCGAGCCGCCTTCATGCTCGGCTAAGACCAAAGTACTTGCCTTTTAAATTAAAGAAAAATAAATTCGAAATTAGAGAAAATTTTCAATTTTTTTCAAATTATTAATTAAAATTCTGGTAAAGGAAAACGAAAGAAATAATTACGGATCTAGACGCCGAGGATTTGGAGAGGAAGGAAGAGAGGTGGAGCTAATACGATGTCGTTTCACAGAGTTTTGAGCAGTAACCGACTCGCCATTTCGGATTCCCTTTTCGCACTTCCTGATCGCCGGATTTTTTGGGGATATTATCTGATTTTTGTTGGCGGTGGATTATCCTAACCGCGTCGGTTTCTGCAGTGCCGTCTGCCCGAAGAGAAACATTAGGGGCCCAATAAGCAGCCCAATAAAAACCCAAGCAAGGCTAAAAAGAAATTAAAAAAGCCCAACTAACAAGAAAAGGACACGTGTCAAACAAAGATAGGCCAGAATTTAATTTTAGTGCCACATATCTTAATAAATTTCTGTTCCCAGTGATTTTGGGTTCGAATTATTATACCTTAATGTTATTTATCCACTTAATTTTTTTTCACCACAAAGTAATTGTCAATAACATGAATAATTACTAAATATGGTTTTAATCCCCATGCATAATTGTAACAATTATGGTCTAATTAAATCACTAATTTCATTAGATTTTTCCATGTTTGAATTGTTTGTGTACGAGAAATAATATTCATAATACTAATTGTTGGAAATTTTTGAGTAATAAGAACAAATTTCCATCATTTTACAAAAAATTTAACTTATTTCAATAATATTTTTACCACAAATTTCACTTAATATGATTCATGTGCATATTGGACATTCAATAATATAAATTTATGTTTTGTATATATATATGTATTTGTTCTTCATTAGATATCATTAATTTGTCTTTCATTTAAGGTTCCAAGGTCTTCTCCTTCCTACTAAAACAATTGGGTTGTGTTTGATGCATTTGTCTTCGATGGATCAGGACTGGATATATGGATATTAGCCAAGCTAAATTCCGAATAAAGAAAACCTGGAGCATAGACAAGAAAACACCTAAGCCTATAGTCGTCATGTTGAGAACTGTTGTCTTTGTCGTGAACTTTGACAATACAAAAGGAATTGTCTTGTGTAATGCTTGCAAATCAAGTATATATGTATATATGCAGACTTTGCTGAAAGTCATAGCAGCAACTGTTTAAGCATTTCATTTGTTACCATCCTGGTTTTTCCGCCGTGGCCTTGACTGCCAAGCAACAGTTCTTCCTAGCTCTGGCAATTGCTTTCCCTTTTTCCCAAGTGGTAATATGTGGGGATCCAGATATCATCTCTGATTTTGTTGTTCCAGCTGGAGTGAATGCTACTGAATTGGATGGAAAGCTTTTCACCTACACAGGCATGAGGCCACTCGTTATCTCTGATCCACCAACAAATTTCACAGTAACAAAAGCAACCATGGCTGAATTCCCTGCCCTTAATGGACAAAGTGTGTCTTATGCTGTTTTGCAGTACCCTGCAGGTTCAGTCAACCCTCCGCACACCCATCCCCTAGCCGCGGAGCTTTTGTTTCTTACGTACGGGACCCTGGAAGTCGGGTTCGTTGACACTGCTAGCAAGCTCTTTACACAAAGGCTCAAGCTGGAGACATGTTTGTGTTCCCTAAGGTATTAGTGCACTATCAGCTCAACTGCGATGAGAAAGACTTTGCCATTGCGATATCCGCCTTTGGTAGTGCAGCTGCTGGCACTGTCTCGGTTCCTTCTACTGTCTTCGTAACAGGCATTGACGATGAGATCTTGGCAAAGTCTTTCAAAACCGATGTTGCCACTATTCAGAAACTCTAGGCAGGGCTTGCACCCAAGGCCTGAGATGGGGATCATGAACTATTAACATTCTAAATTTTCGGATTTCCATTTGTTGGTCTTGTTCTGTTGCCAAGGGGAGTTACCTCAATAAATTGAACCATCAAGCTGAAGCAAAATATAATTGTGTTCCTTTTGCATTAAGGATAAATTTGTTATGAATTCTCAGTTTTTTCTTTCCATGAATTTTAAGTTTTCAGACTCTGCAGAGAGTGCCATGGATGAAGATTATTGGAAAGAAAATCAAACAATGCCTTCAAGTGTGGATTATAGAGCTAGAATCTTTTAGACCTAAAACCTACCCTTGCCTTGAGTTCCCTGGTTTGTGTTTTGATCCCACTGAAGAAACTGTAGAGTTTAATACTTTCATGTCCTCCATGTTTTGCTGAAAGCCTATGGCTGAGAACATAACGTTCAGAGATAATAAAAACTCAGTCCCTATTAGAAAAAGGACAAACTTTCTTGGGGATTAAGTTTACAATCCAATTTCTTGGACCCTTTTGAAAATCAACATCGGTCAGTAGCCTTTGTCTGTATGTTTCTTAACTGAGAAATCAATTCATAGTTAGCAAACAGTAACCTGAACCACCAGAAATAGTGCTTGGCTGCCACTGTCCATATATATGGTGGGCAAAAATGCTATCCTTATCTTCAATTTCTTTGCAGCCAAAGGGAACATCCTTGACATTTCGCATTAACTTAACCGGAAGAGAATTTGCAACTGATTCCCCTGCTTAAAATTTCTATGGTTTCCTTGAATGATGTCAAATACTTGCTTATTCAAATAATAAAACCAGAACACCAAGAACAAAAGAGAGACAAAGGAAAACCAAGGCAAGCCAAGGATTTCCTTTCCACAAGGTTTATTGGATGATTCAAACCAATTTCATTTCTACTAAAACATGCTGTAACAACATAAAGCTATTCACGAAACTCAACATGATTACTGCATTTCGTTTTCTGCAATTTATCTTTGGTGCTTCAATTCTTGGCCCTGGCTCCAAGGCCAGCCTTGATCTTCTGAATAGTAGCAACGTCAGTTTTAAAGCCTTTGGCTAGGACATCATCATCAATGCTAGTGGCCAAAACAGTAGATGGAATGGAAACAGTTCCTGCATTTGCACTGCCAAAGCCAGAAACAGCTATGGTTAAGTTAATGCCAAATGTCAAGGATGTTCCATTAAGGAAACACGAAGATATCCGCAACCTGGAGAGTTTGGGTGTAAAGCTTGCCGGTTGTGTCAACAAAACGAACCTCAAGGCTTCCATCAACAACGATGAGAGAAGCTCAGCAGAACGAGGGTCGATGAGAGGTGGGTTGAAGTTGCCTGCAGGTACACCAAACTGGCAAAGGAAACACTTTGGCCATTAAAGGCAGGGAACTCCGCCATGCTAGTTTCTGTAACCTTGAATCCGGTCAATAGTCAGCATCGAATATACCGCGAAGTTGAAGGTAAAGAAATTTCCATCAAGGGCTGTAGAGTTTGCAGGGGCTAAGAAATCTGATATGATATCTGGATCACAAGCAGAGACCATTGCTACTAACAGAAACACAATAAGCAACTTAAAGAAAGTTGATGCCATGCCATGGTTGGTAGCACGACAGTTTTACTTGAAGCTGGTTGATAAAAGATGTGTTTTTGCCTATACAAATCTTCCTGGAGCATGTACATTTAGAGTAATCAGCTGAGAATTCTATGTCAAAATTGAGAATATCCTATATGATAAAATTCATCGGCAGCAAGAACGCTGTATTTTCCATTGGCCTGCATTAAATGAACATCTTTTATATTAACAATCAAATATAAATTTTTTCTCAAAAATTTATAAGGTGGATCTAAGGCTGATGTTTGGACAGCAAGAGAAAAGGGGAGCTCAGGAACTGAGCATGCCACTGCCATGGCCCCCTCTCTTATTTAACTCTTTCAACAACCTTCATTCAAAGTCTACCCCTAAGCTGTCTTGTCGCTGGTGACGGACCCAATAATTCAACTCTCCTTTAATTGAACCAACTGCGCATGTATTCTTCTTTATTTACAATGTCTAGAAATTTCATAAACAATAAAAACAAAACGAAATTAATTCATCTATGTTATCAACATTTATCTTTATAGACTTTAAGTCTTTGATTACCGTGGTAAGTTTCCTTGCATTTCCCTGTTATCTGCTTTGGATTCATTCCAACCAAGTTGAAAATCACATAAGACTCCTCCAACAGTTTCCGTGGAACTAGTTCCATACGGGGCGGTCAGTAACATCAATACACTATGAGCGACTTTACATAATATATTGCAATTACTACCCACAATATTGCATAAAGTATGAAAAATAAGCCTCATTAAAAACCTTACCATGAAAAAACCCAAGGAAATAAAAATCATGGTAAGGAAAAAAGAGTATCCAAGCTAATCATTCATTACAAATAACCAAATCTAAACCCACACATTCTTTAATTAATTGATCAACAAGGCATCTTTAAGCTCATAATCTATAAGCGAGTTTGGTGTGAGAGAGGCATCCCTCCATATAGATTGATCTGTTAGCATATCCTTAGCAAACTTTACTACCATATGAGCCACCATGTTGCTTTTCCTATGCACATGCTTCACAATCTGCATCGCCATTTCTTGCAATAAAATAGCACGATCCTTTACTAATAAACCCAAAGCCCCCTTGAAATTTTTACATGAAATCCATCTAGCCACCAAGAGGTTGTCGACTACTATCTAATCAAGCATAATATTACTTTTTAGACACACCATCACTGCCCATGTAACAGCCTTCAATTCTGCATCATAAACACGTGAGTAATGTAACATTCTTTTTGCATGCATGAGTACCATGCCACCAATAGAGTTTTTAACCAGAAAACCCGTGGCCATCATGGCTTCACCATCTCTTACAAATAAAGCAGCATTGGTGTTCAACCTTAAACCATGCTGTCTACTCCAAGGTGTCCACAACTTAGCATTTTTATGTTGCGTATTATGTGCGGAACAATTGGCCTCCCTATATTGCCAACACATAGTCAAGCCCATAGCTTGGTTCCATCTTCTTGTTCGTAAAGATCAATAAGTTTCGGGCTTTCCATATTGCCCATAAAAAGACAGAATTTCTTCAATATTCTCCTTATTGATTTGATTACATAGGAAACAAATCCATTGAAATAAATTTTGAAATTGGATCCCAATATCTTTAAATCCCCATCTCGAACCCAACTACACTACTTGAGCATACCAACAATTGCATAGACAGCAAAAATCAGTTTCTAGATCATCACTACAAAAATTACAAAACATATTTACTTTCACATACCATTTACATAGAATAACGTGAGTAGAAAGAAAGGATTCCTCTCATAGCTCTCCAAGCGAATAAGAGTATTTTACTAAAAATATTTAAATTCCAAATCTATTTTCATATTATCGAAAAATCGTTTGAGGAGTTTGCCTCATCATTACTGCCTGTTATAGAACAACGAAGTCTGTGGCCAGATTAACTATGTACTCACCCTGCCAATTATCAAATCATATTTGCTTTTCATTCAAAAGCCTCCTACTAATTGGGATCGATAAAATCAGATTGCATTCAAATGGTGGGAAATATCTAGTAATTTTTTCTACATCTCACAACGTTGTACTTGAATCAAACAAGTCACATGCTCACATTACCTCCGTTACATCACCATAACACATTAACGTTGGTCTTGGTGTCTTATACGAAATCTAACTATCTTTCTTAACAAAGATACCAGTTATATCCCCAACTCTCCAAAGCAACCCTTTCTTGATTACCAACTAATTTTCACTAATACTTCTCTAACTATAACTTGGATTTGATCTAATTAGAGCATCAACAAATTCATGCCTAGGAAAGTACCTTACCTTTAATACTTGGTACACAAGAGTGGGTTTTTTCATTTGTAGCCTCCAACCCTATTTTGCAAGCATCGCAAGATTAAAATTTCGTGTATTTCAAAAACCCATTCCACCAGAAAATTTAAATTTGCACATCGAGTTTTAATTCTTCCAAGGAATCTTCCCATCTTTTTCATCACCCCCACCAAAATCTAGCAATTGCAAAATCAATATCTTGACAAACAGAATCTGGCTACTTAAAGCGACTCATCACATATGAAGGAATGGCATGTGCACCTGATTTAATCAGTACCTCCTTATCTACTACTGACGAAAGTTTATTTTTCCAATTTGACAGTTGCTTCAGGACCCTCTCTTTGACATAAGCAAAAATTTGTTTTTTTCGTTCCTCTTCCCATCAACGGCATGCCCAGATAATTTCCACCCCATTGTCCCTAATTGATTCCCATGATACTACATACCTTTTGACATCACTTGCCCCTGTATTGTTGCTAAATAATACAACTGACTTCTCTAAATAAATCTTCTGATCAGAAGCTTGTTCTTAAGTCGCTAGAATATCTTGCCCTGCCAAAGCCAAAAACAGCCATGGCTTGTTGTTAGTGTTGCTCTACCAAAAGTAGAAATAATCACAGTTGAAGGTGCTTCGAAACTAGAGCAACTATTTGGGGATTAAGAGAAATAATAGTGCTCTGTACTGTCACTGATTTAGGAGCAAACACGTAAGGTCAGTTTTGCATTCGTTAGAATTTCATTTATTCAAAAGAAACAAGTGAAGCTCCATGGAAATTAAATGATGTTTGGTCCCTTGTCTTACACTTAAGTCCATGCAAGCCCCATCCTCTTGCCATAACACTTCCTGGAAAGCCAACCAGGGTCCTTAACAGAGCATCTGACAGAGACTTGGTCAAAATACTTCTTCCCTGGGAATACAGTCTCTATTAATGGTGGTGAATGCCTCGCTGTCCAACTAGTATAAAGTAAAAGTAGTGGAGTAAGATTTGGGTCCTTGTCTTCCACTAAGGATTTAAAATTGAGTAAGAACAGTTGGAACAATAAAATAGAAACAGATTTCAAAGAAAAGAAGTCTTTGCTGAAACTTTTCTCCGTAATTTCTGTTGGTCACTAGGATTTGAAGCAGATTTAGAGCTAACGTATCTATAAAAAGGAGCTTAAAATTATAGCAAATTGGTCCATCTAATGGACTGAGTACAGGTTTCTTAGTGGCACGTCCTAAATCATCATAACCACAATTCATCCAAATCCAAATGGGCTTATCTGTCTTCCTTTCTTTTATTTTTATTTTTTGTAAAAACAAAACGCGTATTCAATTTATTTTACAGTGTTTGAATATGAAAGATGGCGATGTTATGTTCTATTCAACCCCATAAATAAATCCATTTCTAGTCCAAGAATCAACACTCATCACTACACCATGTAAAAAAGAGATGACGAAGAAAACCAATAGTTCAAAAGTGCTCATGATTCCATGTCCCACGAGAAATTGTGATTTGTTGGAAAATTTCCTATAGAATTACATCCTCTTGCCATAACACTTCTTGGAAACACAAGCAGGGTCCTTAACAGAACATCTGAGAGAGAATCATCAAAGTTTATTCAATTTTCTATGCCTACTCTTACTAACAAACCTTTTACTCATTTGAGAGAACAAAATGCTTGGGTGAGTCCTTAGTTTCATAGAGAAGACTAACCCAAGCATACATTCATCCTGATCTGTACACTTGAACATCACAGACCGGTTCACCTGTGAACCAAAAATAGGCCATCTGGTCTGAATATTTTCTATTCCTATCTTGTAATTAATTTACAATTCACCCATTACATCTCCGTAAACAAAACTGTTTTTTTTTTTCTGAAATTTGATGGTTTACTCTTCCACTATCAGCAATGCCATAACAAGTCTTAAGCCTATTAGGTTAGACACTCTAATGGCATTAAAAAGCTGATTTTGGCCATTTATTGTACAATTACAAAAGAAATCGGTGGACAAAACGATATAGTCAGCCTCTATCCTTTCAAGGCAAAGTGAAAACAAAAAGTCATACAAAGGTTCTTTCATAACGTATATGTAACAGATTTTGGGATACTGTTTTAGGATTTATTATTTGCTATATTTGGGTGCTGCAACTACTGTAACCTCATCTTCCCGCGTCATAGTAAAATCTATTCCACCTTTTGATTGCGGATGTAGGTTATTAAGCTGAACCACGTAATTTGTTGTGTCTTTTATTATTTTGAATTGTTTGCTTGCTAATTATCATCATATTCAGTTTGATTTCGCATCTATATTTTTCACTGTGTTATTTGTCAAGGGTATTGCTCTTTCGACAAGATAATGATAAAGACCTGCCTCAAAATCTCATTTACGTAACCTCTTTATTGTTATTGTTGCTCTGCTAAAATAGAGATAATCGCAGTTGAAGGTGCTTCTTGACAAGAGCAACTATTTGGGGATGAAGAGAAATAAGAGTGCTCTGTACTATCAATGATTTAGGAGCAAACTCTCATCACAGGTCAATTTCGCATTAGATAGAATTCCATTTATTCAAAAGAAACAAGTGAAGCTCCATGATATGTTTGGTCCCTTGTCTTACACTTGCGTCCTCGCAAGTCCCATCCTCTTGCCATAACACTTCCTGGAAAGCCAACCTGGGTCCTTAACAGAGCATCAGACAGAGACCTAGTCAAAATACTTCTTCCCTGGGAATACAGTCTCTATTAATAGTGGTGAATTGCTTGCTGTCCAATTACTATAAAGTAAAAGTAGAGTCAGATTGGGGCCTTTGTCTTCCACTGAGGATTTAAAATTGAACAAGAACAGTTGGAACAAGAAAATAGAAACAGATTTCAAAGAAAAGAAGTCTTTGCTGAAATTGTTTCTCTGTAATTTCAGTTGGTCACTAGGATTTGAAGCAGATTTAAAGCGAAAGTATCTAGAAAAAGGAGCTTAAAATGATAGCAAATTGGTCCATTTAATGGACTAAGAACAGGTTTTTATAAAGCAAAAGATGCTTGGCCCATTGTTATTGAATAAAAGAAAATAACAATAAAAAAAAAGGGGAGACTAAGAAGAAAACCAAGTCGTTGCTGCAACTTTTGTTGAATAATTAAAAAAAATACAATGATTCCATCCACTACCAAATGAGGACAAAACATAGAAAAGAGAACAATATTTGTTTATTAATTAGTTGGGAAACTCACATGGGATGTCTTTGACCCAAGTTGCCAATATTTGTTTATTAATTTCTCGTCATAGAGTTTCCATTTGAGCGTCTTCTTCTATCATCTCCACATCTACAAGCTACACTGTCCCAAGAATTTGTTTGAGCTCTTCTTTAACCCCTCGACAAACCTACTCTTCAATTTTATTTTCCTTCACTTTTCCTCTTCTTTTAACTCAAAGAACAAAAGCATCTCTGTAGTGTGTTGTTTAACTCTGCAACAAAAAAAAAAAAAAACAGTTCTCTTGAATTACTTTTGTTTGATCCTTGTTAGCTACTTTTCCTTTCCTTAATTTTTGTTTCCCGATCTCCGGAGTCGGTGAGGTAATTCCTTCAGTTAAACATATTATATTCTCCATATTTAATTTTTTTTTGTGCTCAATTTCTCTTATCATTCATGAATTTGACTTCTTATTTTTTACGTTGGCAAATAAAATTAATTAATTATATATTATGTGTAGCATTTTAGTATGAAATCATTCCAATGTTATGACTTTAAAATATGTAAAAATATATCAAAAGTATATGCTGAATTTTCATTCTCAATTTTTTAATCTATTATAAATTTTCACATTTTTCCATTTTTACCGATGTTTATGGATATTTTGGGAAATTATATAGAATGATGATACTATGCTTTTACTTTAATATGAACATATATTTCTAATTAATATACATATGACCAATGACAAGAATTTCTACATCTGCAATATCTTCAATTTCCAAGTTGGTCCGTAAATAGTCTGCTCTCTTGTGATCCACATTTTTGTAAAGGTATTGCCCCAAAAATAAAGTACTTTGCAAATATTTAGTAATTGTTTTTGTCTCTTTGTAAAACTTTTTACTCCTCGAAATTAAAACTAATTAGATTGCTATTTTATGAAAGTTTCAAGTCATTGTTAATTAAAATATATGACATGTTTTAATAATTTAAGATTTTAGAGTTTGAGATATTAAATTACTTGTTGATAAGATTAATTTTTTTATAAAGAAAAAAAAAAGAAAAAGGTGAGGCCAATAGTTCCATAAGGTAAAAGATTTGAGCCCGCATCTTTCACAAAGGATTTGAAATTGAATTAGAAAAAATATTTATATTTGATGTATTAACCGTGTATAGTTCTTAAAATAAATATTAAAGAAATGTTAGTAACTAATTAGAGAAATATCATGGAGGTAGAATCAAATAAAAATATGAATTATTGCAATGGTAGCCCACTTTTGGTGCTTCAATTTTCGGCCTTTATCTTCTGAACACACAATCCGAAACATCTTCTAGTAGATAGATTTCCAAGACTAAGATTAATTATGAACGCACACCTTGCATTTTGCATTGCACATTCCTACCAAATATATTAAAATATATTCTTACTACCAAAATAATTAAAAATATTCTTAACATTCCTTTCATCGTTTCTTTTGTTTTATTTTTTAGTCTCTTTTGTACAACTATTTGTTTTTTTATTTCTTAAAAAGTTACTATTAATTATAAATTACTTGAGAAATAAATTTCAAAAAAGTGAAATCATAATTAATTAAATATGGGTGAACGACTAAGGAAAAAAAATAAATAAATAGTAAAATTATTTTTTGAATGAAAATAGTAAAATTATATTAGAACTAAAAACATCCGTTTCATTATTTAGAATACTATATATAATTTTAATTTATCAAAAACTTATTTCGATTTATTCAGACATGCTTATCAAGTGAAGTCCACTAAGTCTTTGATTACTGTGTTAAGTTTGCGTGCATTTCCCTGTTATCTGCCTTAGATTCATTTCAATCAAGTTGTAGATCCATGGCGGAAGCAATTCCATACGGAGTGGTCAGTAGCATCTTGTCCAAGTTGGTGTGGCTTGCTGGGCAAGAGCTAATTGGCTTGACTTTCGGGTTGAATAAGGATCTGGAGAAGCTTCAAGAGACTCTCAGCACCATAAACGCTGTCCTCCGTGATGCTGAGGAGAAGCAGGAGAGCAACCATGCCGTGAAAAACTGGATAAGTCGGTTGGAAGATGCTGTCTTTGATGCAGAGGATTTACTGGACGAATTCGACTATGCAATCCTGCAACAGAAGGTGTGTCAGCAGGGACAGGTACGTAAGTTCTTTTCATCCTCGAACCCTGTAGCATTTCATCTTAAAATGGGTCCCAGAGTTAAGGAGATTAGAGAGAGGCTGGACGTTGTTGCAGCAGATATTTCTAAGTTTAACTTGAATCCGAGAGTTGTAGTAATGGATAAGAAAGCTGACAATAACAGGGAGAGCGCTCCAAAGGTGAGAATGGAATTAATAATAGGGAGGGAGAAAGATAAGGAGAGCATTATTGAATCATTGTTGAAGGAGCAAAATCATGGTGACAGCAACTCCAATATTGTTGCCATTGTTGGCTTTGGAGGTTTAGGGAAGACCTCGCTTGCCCGGGTTGTGTATAACGATGTAAGAGTAGCAAACTCCTTCAAACGGATATGGGTGTGTGTTTCTGAAGAATTTAATGTCTGTATAATTTTTAAGAAAATCTTGAAATCTCTAGTAGATGACAAAGTGGATGACTTGGATCTAGATAAAGTGCAAAGAAAACTTGAAGAAAATTTAGAGGGGAAGAAATATTTAGTTGTGTTGGATGATGTATGGAACGAAGACACTTCAAAGTGGAATGATTTTTCACAGTATCTGGTGTTTGGTGCTCCTGGAAGCAAAATTCTCGTGACAGCTCGTAGTATGAAAGTTGCATCAAGTATGGGGGTCCATGATCCTTACCTTTTAAAAGGTCTTAATGAGGAAGAATCTCAGAATTTGTTTGAGAAAGTGGCATTTGAAGGACGTCAAATCGATCCAAAGCTTGGACTAATTGGAAAGGTTGTTGCACAAAAATGCAAAGGAGTTCCTCTCGCTATCAAATGTTTAGGAGGTTTGATGAGACAGAAACCTGATGAAAACTACTGGTCATCTGTCCAAGAAGATGAAATTTGGAAGTTAGTTAAAGAAAATGATGGTCTTTTGCCGGCATTAAGATTGAGTTACACTCACTTACCAAGTCATTTAAAACGATGCTTCACTTTTTGTTCGCTTTTCTCAAAAGACTCTGAGATATATAAAGATGAGTTGATCCATTCATGGCGAGCGCAAGGTTACATTCAATTACGGGAGGGAAATGAGAATATACAAGACATTGGTGATGAATACTTTAATGAATTGTTGTCAAGATCATTTTTTCAAGAGGAGGAGAAAGATGATGATGGGAATATTTTTTGTAAAATGCATGATCTTATCCATGATCTTGCATTATCAGTTGCAGGTTGTCGTTTTCATTGGATGAAAGATGAAAAAGAAAGCATTCCAAAAGGAATCCGTCATGTGTCACTAGAAAAAAATTCCAAAGAGGTTGCTTTCACTTTGTCGAAAACTAAGGGGATAAGGACTATGTTTTTTCGAACACACATTTCCAATGATTTATTCATTCGAAATGCAACTTTTTTGAAGTTCAATTGTTTACGTATGTTGAATTTGAGTGGGATGGGCATTAGGATTTTACCAAATTTAATTGGCGAATTGAAGCACTTGAGATACCTTGACCTTTCTTGTAATTTTGACATGGAAGTGCTCCCAGATGCAATAGCCAAATTGCATAATTTGCAAACTCTATTGCTCAATGATTGCCAGAATCTTAAAGAGTTACCAAGAGATATCCGACAATTGATTAGTTTGGAATATCTTAATATCAGTCGTTGCGGTGGACTAAATTGCTTGCCAAAAGGGTTAGGGGAATTGACTTCGCTCCAAGGATTGGATAGATTTATTGTGAATAGTGTTGAAGATAATTTCTCAATTGCAGCGACGTTGAACGAGTTGAGGGACCTAAATGGCCTTGGAAAGTGCTTAAGAATTGAACACTTGGACAATGTGAGGAATGTGGAATTAGAATCTCAGGAGGCGAATTTAAAGAAAAAGAAACGGCTTCAGTCTTTGCAATTATACTGGAAACCTTTCTTCTGGTCAAGTCCTTCCTCTCCAGCAAGAGTGGCAAGTGAAAAGGATGAGTTGCTGTTAAATATTCTCGAGCCACACCCGAATTTGAAAGAGCTGAAGGTATTCGATTTTGGAGGAGCAAGGTTTTCGAGTTGGCTATCTTCATTGACTAATTTAGTCGAACTTGAAATATACAATTTTTGGAATTGCCAACATCTGCCACCCTTGGATCATCTTTCATCTCTCAAGTCTCTTTCTCTCAACTTTTCCAATGTTTTAAAAAACCTGCCACCCTTGGATCATCTTTCATCTCTTGAGTTTCTTACTCTTGAGAGGTTCAATGTTTTAGAACACGTGGCAGATTCTTTTCCCTTGCCTTGTTCCACGCAAAGAACATCATTCTTCCCATCGCTTAAGAAACTTGAGATCAAACACTGCCCCAATCTCAAAGGATGGTGGAGGACTAGGAAAGAGAACCAAGGACCAACCGCTGATCTGCCTTGCTTTCCTTGCCTTTCCGAGTTAGAAATCTCGAACTCCCCAAACTTAACCTCCATGCCATTGTTTCCATCTCTTGACCAAAAATTGACTTTGATTGATACTAGTGTAAGGCCTTTGCAACAAACATTGAAGTTGAAAATGAAAATGACCGAGGCTAGCGTGACATCAGAAGCATCATCATCATCATCATCATCATCACTGCCATCGTCATCGTCATCGTCACCGTCAGGGAGCCCTTCTCATTCTTACCCTTCAACAAGCCTTCCTCTCTCGAATTTGAAGGGTTTGACTCTTAAGAAAATTCATGATCTAAAAGTTCTGTCAAAAGAGTTTCTACAAAATCTCACTTCTCTTGCACACTTGACATTGAAAGACTGCCCCAAATTGCAATCGCTGCTGTTGCAAAAGATGAGCTGCCTCACCTCTTTACAAGAATTGTGGATTAAAAATTGTCCTAATCTGAGGGCTTTACCGGAGTGGATACTCAATCTCACTTCCCTTAGAACACTTCAAATTCAAAAGTGTCTTGAATTACAGTACATGCCAGAAGGGACGCATCGACTTATATCTTTACAAGAATTATATGTTGTGTACTGCCATAATTTGAGAGCTTTGCCAGACTGGATACCCAATCTCACTTCCCTCAAAGAACTTTGCATTTGCGAGTGCCTTGAATTACCCTACTTGCAAGAAGGGATGCATCACCTTAACTCTTTCCAACAATTGTGGATTTACAATTGCCCTAATCCGAATTCTCCAGATTGGATACGCAATTTCAGTTTTCCCAAAACACTTCTAATTCAGGGGTGCCCTGATTTGCATTCATTAAGAGTAAAGGTGCATCGCCTTGTCTCTTTACAAGAATTGAATATTCAAAATTGCCTTAATCTGAGGGATTTGCTGAACTGCATATCTAATATCGCTTCTCTTAAAAGACTTAAGATTTGTAAGTGCCCTGAATTACAAGACTTGCCAGAAGGGATGGATGGCCTTACCTCTTTGCAAGTATTGTCTATTAGTGAATGTCCCCAGTTGTCGGAAAGATGTGAAAAGGAGACTGGAATCCTGTGGCCTCGCATTGCTCGCATCCCTTCTATTATAATTGATGGGCGACAGATTCAATGATGATCATACAATATAGGTAACCATATTTTTCTTCACCTCTATTTATATTTCTCTCTTTACTTGATAATTCTTTTTGTTTTCTCGCTGGATTTGGATGATACGTAATTTGTTGTATGCATGTAATCCAAGTCGACTATGCAAAAGTGGATTTAATCCATTTTCTGCTACTTCTTTCTAAGTGGACTAAAAATATTGATTTCTTTTTTCTTTTCTTACTTTGAATTTTATTTTTGTTAAGTTAAATATTACTAACATAAAATTAATCCATTTTATTTTTATATTGTTTAGGTTGACCAAAAGTTTGGGTTTCTTGTAAAAGGTTGTCAAAAGCTTTTTGTGCAATGTTGGGGTAATTGTTCAGTTATCTTATCAATAGAGTTAGAATGCCAAAAAGAGTCTTTAGCTGATTAGATCATAGACTTTTGATCTGATAACATCAATAAAATCAGATCTTTTCAAAAAAAAAAAAAAAACCATTAGCATGAAATGGAGTTATGGACAGATTATTGTCGGTTGTTTCACTTCCCCTGTTTTTGTGCACTGATCAATGCAAAATCATCTCTTATACAATGAGGCAACATTGGATGTAACATTGGATGTTTATGTCCTATCTTTTCAGAAGCAAAACAGAAATTAAATGGAAATGGATTGCAAGGCAGATTGCTTCTATCACAGAGATTCTAAATAATTGAATCACTGGTGAAATAAGCTGAGATGTGAGAGTGAGTATCCATGAAAATTTACAGCTGCAAGTTTGTTAGAGTGCCTACATCCAGTCAAGACTCCGGAGCTGAAAGCTAGTAATAATATAAACCAATGTGAAAGTCTGCTTGTACATTTCATGCCGTATTTGTTGTGATGCGGAGATAATGCTATAGGTAATGTTTCTGCCTCTTCTTCTTGATGTAGGCACTTGCTTTGTAAAGAATATATTAACATGAGTTCTTTCTTTTTTGCTTGTGTTTATAATGCGATGATGACATGTTTTCATTCTTTGAAGCAGGATGATTTCATCTTGCTAATTTCCTTCCAGAGCAGACAGTTGTTGAATTGAAACCAAGAGCAATTTCTATTGGTAAAATTTACCACTTATTCAGTTTGTCTTACCAATTTCATTTGCTTTCTATAAGAAATCTATTAACACCTAACTTCATACTTCTTTTTGCATGTCTTTATAGGGATTATGGACTTTTTCTGATAGTTTGAGAGAGTACATACGGATTTCAACTTGCCAATGGCATTGTGAAGTACAGTACTAGAATCGATGGATCGGAAGCTTTACTCTCAATAGCATCATCACTATGTTATAGTTTGATGGCAATTTTATGTGAGACTTAAATTTTGCTTTGACTTTTTGAATTCAATAAAGGCTAACTGATGAAACTAATTGAACAACTTGACCTCTGGTTTCCTTTTAGATAACGATGACTGCACAACGTGCAACTTTTTCACCTTTTCTTCCTAAGAAGTGAGCCTTTGGTCTAGCGATCTTGAATTCAAGGTTAATTGGCTTTTCATTTATTGCTCTATTATATATGAGGAATGTGCTGTCTATAGAATCCCCAATATTTTTGCATTGCTCTAACATTTAAGATTTTCGCTTTCCATAGAAAAAGAAGAGACGCCAGTGACTTGCCCGCCAACTCCCTTCTGGCCATTTTTGAAATGCAGGTATTCTCAAAGCATTATCTATTGCATACATGATTCTATTTGTTAAAGTTTCTTTAGTTTGTGCTCTTATTTTTCGGCATATCTTTATCCTCAATGCTTCTTTATAACAATGGTTTTCTTGACTAGTTACTTGTGAATGGAGTTCAGCAACATTAGCTAAGTAGTGGCTTGAGTGATTGGGAGAAGTGCCAGGAGAGCTAAGCTAGCTGGTTGGAAAACACCTTCACTTCTTTCAAAAATCAATGTCAATGGTTCCATCTTGGCAATTCTTGGAGGTCTTTGAGCAGTGGCTTCAATTCTAGTCTTTAGGCCTTTACTTAATTAACCCAGACTGTTAAGAGGACCTAAATACAAAGGTTCTTTCCCAATGTACATGTGGAGAAGACTTTTGGGATAGTATTCTAGGATTTACAATTCGCTAAATTTGGGTGCTTCAGCTACTGTAACCTTCTGCATCATAGTAAAATCTCTTTCACCCTTCGACCGTGGATGTAGGCTATTAAGCCGAACCACGTAATTTCTCGTGTGTTTTTTTATACTAGATTGCTCGCTTGCTAATTATTATCGAATTCGGTTTGGTTTCGCATTTATATTTTTTATTACATTATCTGTCAAAAGCATTGCTTTTTCGACTAGATAATGTTAGAGTTGTCTTAAAATCTCGTCAACCCTCTAGCAATGACTATAGGTTAAGATAAATCATGGAAACTTTTTGTATTTTTGTTCTACGTGATTGTTTGCTTTGTTATTTACTATCAAATATGGGTTGCTTCATTTCTGTATTTATATTCTTCCTTATATTATTATAAAAGGTATTGATTTATCTCAAAATGTATCAAGTGAAACTATCATAAATGTTTTAATTTTAATTAATTGAGAAAAGTTATAAAATTGAAGTTACTCATTTCCAAAATAGATTAATTTTTCGATAAATGTCACTACAACTTTGCAATGGCATTCATTAGAAATATTTCCTACTTAATTATCAATATTTTGTTTTTAAAAAACATGAAAGGTAGATAATACTCAATCACACGCTTAATTTATATAACTTGACATAAGGTAGAGATCCATAAATATAATTTTATATAAACAGTAATTTATTAACACAGCAATGAAAACATATAAAAACAGTAATTCATCCTTCAAGCAAGATCAAATCTGTCAATTTTTACAGATTCAGATCTCCCTTCTCTCTTTCTAAATTTTCATGGATATAAGCTTTTGATAGAATAAAGCGCAAATCTCTGTTTGCTGTATTCAGATGTACCGGAAAATGCAAAGCATTACCTGCTGCTGCCTTGCTGTATTCACACGTTCAAAGTAAAGACTAAATCAGTGATGGATCAAATTAGGACTTTTAACATAAAAATGAGCTAAAATTACTAAAATTAAACTTAACAACAAAAAGCATAAAAACTGCCTAAAATTACTTAAAAATTACAAGCAATTAACTATTTTTAATAATCAAAATGTGACAAAAGAAGCCTATATCATAAAGTTATCAGATTTCAACAATATAAATATATTTTCTCTACTTGGTTAATTAATTATTGATTATCTATACTTCATCTAGGAGCTCATGTCCTCTAACCATTGAATCTCATTTTTTAAAAAAGAAAATTAAATTAAAAAAAAAAAGACAATTTGCAATCAATTTTATTTACATATTATCTATTTGTCAAAACTTTTGAAGTTTAGTATAATTGGATGGAGACAACATAAAGCAATCACTCAATGTGAATGAAGATTATTTAAAACTCAGAAATCAACTACAAAGGAAATCAATTTTCAAAAAAAAAAAAAAACTACAAAGGAAATCATTGTTTTTCTGCATCAAGTTGGCTAACAATCCCTTAACCAAGTAAATGGCCTTGTTTTGTTTCACTATCATGCGTATGGGTGAGACTAGGCTACTACTTGTTAAACAAAGTGTGAAATGAAATCAATTTGATTATTAATAAAATAAACTTGAAGAAATAATGATGTTGTTCATCTGCCAAGCTTTTGTTTTGCATGGAAGTTGTGAAATGAAAGGATCTCTAACAATGTTTTGGGTTATGGCTGGAAAACAATAAAGAAACAAACTTTCTCAACGTATGGAAGCAACTTTGGCATTGTAGCTTTCTCAATGGGATGACGTTGAGCCAAGTTGCCAATATATTTCCAAATGTCCTACACCTACTCCTATTGTTAATCAATTAACTATTAATCACCAAGTTGCCTATATATTTCCATTGGTCCTAATTTAAATATTATTGTTCCAAATTTCCTGTGCCTACTCTCGTCGTATTGTAGCTGGTTATAATCAAAGAAAACAGAATAATATTTGTTTACTAATTACTGGGGAAACTCACATGGGACGTCTTTGACCCAAGTTGCCAATATATTTGCGTTTATCCTATACCTACTCTTACTACTTTCTCGTCACAGAGTTTCCATTTGAGCATCTTCTTCTATCATCTCCTCTATCCCAAGAGTTTGTTTGATTTCTGCATTGCTCTTCTTTTCATTCAACAAAACCTAGTCTTCCATTTTATTTTCCTTCATTTTCCCATTTTTCTTTTAACTAAAAGAACAAAAGCATCTCTGCTGTTTAACTCTACAAAAAAAAAATACAAAAAAATAGTTGATCTCTCAAATTACTTTTGTTTGATCCTTGTTAGTTACTTTTCCTTTTCTTAATTTTGGTTTCCTGATCTCCGAAGTTGGTGAAGTAATTCCATCCTAATTGAGGTAAGCTTCAATTAAACATATTATATTCTCTCTAGATTTATTTTTTATTTGCTCAATTTCTCTTATCACTTATATATTTGACTTATATATTTACTTTTTATTTGTTTTTTTTTTGTTTGGTTTACTTTTTTCGGTACAATTATTTGTTTTTTATTTCTTAAAAAGTTACTATTAAGTGAAAATAAATAACAAAAAGTGAAATCATAATTACCTAAAAATGAATAAATGATAAAGGTAAAAAAATAACTAATGGTAAAATTATAACATCAATTATAATTTAATTACTTTATATATAAAACTAAAATGATCATTTCATTATTTAGAGTAGTGTATATCTATTTTTTAATTTATCAAAAACTAATTTTGTTGATTGTATTTATTTTAAAAAATTTGGATGTTATCCAATTTTAATTGCCACACGTGTATGTAAAATAACCATGGATAGCACCAGCATCTCAGGTCATTACCTTGTTAGTTTGCTTGCATTTCCCTGTTACTATCTTGTTTAGATTCATTTCAACCAAGTTGGTGTTTTAGTTGTAGGTCCATGGCGGAGGCAATTCCATACGGGACGGTTAGTGACATCCTGTTCAAGTTGGTGTCACGTGCTTGGCAAGAGCTTGAGTTGATTTTCGGGCAGAACGAGGAGCTGGAGAAGCTTCAAGAGACTCTAACCACCATAAACGCCTTCATTCTTGATGCTGAGGAGAAGCAAGAGAGCAGCCATACTGTGAAAAACTGGGTAATTCGGCTTCAAGACATTGTCTACGATGCAGATGACTTACTAGATGAAGCCGACTATGAAATCCTGCGCCATAAGGTGCGTGCTCGGGGACAGGTACGCAAGTTCTTTTCATCGTCGAACCCTCTAGCATATAGTCTTAAGATGGGTCACAGAATTAAGGAGATTAGAGAGCGACTGGACACGGTTGCAGCAGATATGTCAAAATTTAACTTGAGGGAGAAAGTTTTAGTACTGGATATGAAAGCTAAGAGTAATGACAGGGAGACTGCCTCAAAGGTGAAATCCGAAATAATAGGGAGAGAGGAAGATAAAGGGCACGTCATAAAATCATTGTTACAGAAGCAAAATGATTTTCATGGTGACAGCATCTCCATTGTTGCCATTATTGGGTTTGGAGGTTTGGGGAAGACTTCACTTGCCCAATCGGTGTATAATGATGCAACAGTGGAAAACTTCTTCAAGCCACGGATATGGGTGTGTGTTTCTGAAGAATTTGATGTATGCATAATTTTTAAGAAAATCTTGAAGTCTATAGTAGGTGGCAAAGTAGATGACTTGGATCTAGATCAAATACAAAGACAACTTGAAGATAATTTAAAAGGGCAGAGATATTTACTCGTGTTGGATGACGTGTGGAATGAAGACAATTTGAAATGGGATAAGTTTTCGGAGTATCTGGTGTTTGGTGCTCCTGGAAGCAAAATTCTTGTAACAACTCGTAGTAAGAAAGTTGCATGTACTATGGGGGTCCACATTCCTCACGTGTTACAAGGTCTCAATGAGGATCAATCTTGGACTTTGTTTGAGCAAGTGGCATTTAAAGGACAATGCAAAATTGATCCAAACCTTAGAGTAATTGGAAAAGATGTTGCACGAAGATGCAAAGGAATTCCTCTTGCTATCAAATGTTTGGCAGGTTTGATGAGACAAAAGCTTAATGAAAAATACTGGTCATCTATCCAAGAAAATGAAATTTGGAAATTACTTGAAAAAGATGATGGTGTTTTCCCGGTGTTAAGATTAAGTTACGATCACTTGCCAAGTCATTTGAAACAATGCTTTGCTTTTTGTTCGCTTTTCTCAAAAGACTCAGAGATATATCAAGACAAGCTGATCCAACAATGGCGAGCACAGGGTTACATTCAATTAATGGAAAATGAGAATATACAAGATATTGGTGATGAATACTTCAATGATTTATTGTCAAGATCACTTTTGCAAGAGGAGGGGGAAGATGAGAAAGGGAATATTATTTGTAAAATGCATGACCTTATTCATGATCTTGCATTATTGGTTGCAAAAAGTAATTTTCATTGGATGAAAGATGACAAAGAAACAATTCCAAAAGGAGTCCGTCATGTGTCATTGGAATGTGAATATGAACAAAATCAAAAAGTAGTTTTGACACATTTGTCGAAAGCAAAGGGGATAAGGACTTTGCATTTTCGAACACACATTTCCAAGAATGTATTCATTCGAGATGCAACTTTTTCAAGTTTCAATTGTTTACGTATGCTGAATTTGAGTTACATGAAAATTGTCATTTTGCCAAATTTAATTGGTGAATTGAAGCACTTGAGATACCTTGACCTTTCTCACAATTATGACTTGGAAGTGCTCCCTGGTGCTATAGTCAAATTGCACAATTTGCAAACTCTATTGCTTTATTGTTGCGACAAACTTAAAGAGTTACCGAGGGATATACAACAATTGATTAGTTTGGAATATCTCAACATTGATGGTTGTTTTACACTAAAGTGCTTGCCCAAAGGATTAGGGAATTTGACTTCATTACAAAGATTGCACAGATTTATTGTGAACAATATTGTTGAAAAGGGTTTCTCAATTGCAGCCACATTGAATGAGTTGAGAGACCTAAATGACCTTGGAAACTACTTAACCATTGAAAACTTAAGCAAGGTGAGAAATGCAGAATTAGAATCTATGGAGGCAAATTTAAAGGAAAAGAAACGGCTTCAGTGTTTGAGATTATGGTGGCAACCCAATGCAGGAGAGGACAGTGAAAAGGTTGAGTTATTGTTGGATAATCTTGAGCCACACCCGAACTTGAAAGAGTTGGAGGTACGCAGGTATGGAGGAGCAAGGTTTTCAACGTGGCTATCATCCTTGAATAATTTAGTCAAACTTGATATAGACGGTTGTTGGAATTGCCAACACCTGCCACGCTTGGATCATCTTTCATCTCTCAAGTCTCTTACTCTTCAGGGGTTTCATGTTTTAGAACAGCTGCCACCCTTGGATCATCTTTCATCTCTCGAGTCTCTTACTCTTCACGGGTTCCATGTTTTAGAACACGTGGAAGATTCTTTCCCCTTGCCTTGTTCCACGCCAGGAGCATCATTCTTTCCATCGCTTAAGAAACTGTCGATCCGAGACTGTCCCAATCTCAAAGGATGGTGGAGGAATCAAGGATCAACCGTTGAGCTGCCTTGGTTTCCTTGCCTTTCTGAGTTAGATATCTGGTTGCGCCAAAACTTAACCTCCATGCCATTGTTTCCATCGCTCGACCAATATTTAACTTTGTATGGTACTAGTATAATGCCTTTGCAGCAAACATTGAAGATGAAGATAACCAAGGCTAGCACGACATCAGAAGCATCATCATCAAGGAGCACTTGCCATTCTTATTCTTATTCTTCAACCGCCCTTCCTCTCTCCAATCTGAAGCATCTGACTCTTGCTTCCGTTGATGATCTAGAAGATCTGTCAGAGGAGTTTTTCCAAAATCTCACTTCTCTTACTTGCTTAATATTTAGTGATTGCGATAAATTGGAATCGTTGCTGCCGCAAAAGATGAACCGCCTCACCTCTTTACAAGAGTTGCAGGTTGGAAATTGTCCTAATCTGAGGGCTTTACCGGACTGGATACCTAATCTCATTTCCCTCAAAACACTTAAAATTCAGTGGTGCCCTAAATTACAGAGCTTGCCTGACGGGATGCAACAGCTTACCTCTTTGCAACAATTGTTAATTGATGGATGTCCCCGGTTGTCGAAAATATGTAAAAAGGAGACCGGAATCCACTAGCCTCACATCCCATCCATTGATTCACCGATGATCATACAATGTAGGTAACCATATTTTCTCTCTTTATCTGATAATTCCTTTTCCCTTCTTCCTAGATTTGGATGATTCATACTTTGTTCTATGCATGTAATCCAAGTTGGTTATATAAAAGAGAATTTAATCCAGACTTTGCTAATTCTTTCTATTTGAATTTTCCTTTCGCAAGTTAAATACTGGTATTAGTTTCTTTTCAAAAAAAAAAAAATATTGCTAATAGTTGAGTGAAAGGACTTTGAACTGTGATCATAACTTGACGTTAAAATTCTGCCTATATTTAGCAGCAATTGAGAACCTTTTCCTTGCTTCAATTTCCCATTCTTCATTTATAATTGTAAATTTTAAGCATTTAGGATCTCACTAGCTCTATATGTAACCTTTGTATAGATAGCATACCTATAGTCAAACTATTAAATTTATACTTTTTACAGACAAATTTAAAAAAAAAAATTCCAACCGTGACTAATTATTTTGATTTTTCACTTTATAATACCAATTCCTAACAATCTTTTAAATGGTTTTTTTTTCAACTTTTTCAATGATGTTAATCTGTGCTTGAAGGAGATTGATGTGACTCAAATATTCTTGGTAGTTTAGCTTACTCTGTTCACTTCCCCATTTTTATGCATTGATCAATGCAAAATCATCTCTTATACAATGAGACAACCTTGGATGTTCGTGTCATATTTTTGCAGAAAATTAAATGGACAAGAATCGTGAGACAGATTGCTTCTATCATAGAGATTCGAAGTAATTGAAATACCGGTGAAGTGAGCTGAGATGTGAGAGTTAGAATCCTTCTTCTTTTTGCAGATTTATATATCTCTTCTTTTTTCTATCTTCTTTTCAAGGTAATGACTAATATTATAACCTCTTCCTTTCGACAAGCAGATGCCATGAAGTATTAGCCTGAGAATATTGTTTTTTCCTGAGTATCCCTAAGGATTTGCAACTACAAGTTTGTTAGAGGGTCTATCTCCACTCAAGACTCTTGAGTTGAAAGATAGTAATAATAGAAAATGAAGTGAAAGGCCGCTTGTACATTTCCTGCTTTTGTGATGAAGAGATATTGTTATAGGTAATATTTCCTCTTCTTCCAGTTGTAGGGAATATATTAACACCATTCTTCTCTTTTTTTCTACATGTTTATAATGGGATGATAACATTTTTTCATTGTTTGAAGGAGGACGATTTCATCTGGCTAATTTCCTTCCAGGGCAGAATAGTTGTTGAATTGAAATCGAGAGAAATTTCTAATGGTAAAATTTACTGCTAATTTGGTTTGTCTTACTACTTTCATTTGCTTTTTATAAGGAATCCATTAACACCCAACTTCATACTTCTTTCTGCATGTCTTTATTGGGATTATGGACTTTTTCTGATAGTTTGAGAACGGGCCTACGGATTTTAACTTGCCAATACCATTGCGAAGGAAGAGTACTAGAATCGGTGGATTGGAAGGTTTCCTCTCAACAGCGTCATCACTATCTATGTTACAGTTTGATATAAATTCTATGTGAGAGTTAATTTTGCTTTGAGTATTTAAATTCAATAAGGGCTAACTGATGAAAATAATTGAACAGCTTGGCCTCTGGTTTCTTTTTAGATAACAAAGACTGTACAACATGCAACTCTTTCACCTTCTCTTCTCAAGAAGTGAGCCTTGGTCAAACGATCTTGAATTCAAGGTTAATTGGCTTTTCATGTGATGCTCTATTATATATGAGAAATTTTTTGTGTATAGAATCTTCAATATTTTTTTCATTGCTCTAACGTTTAAGATTTTCATTTTCCATAGAAATAAGAGATCTCAATGACTTGCCCGCCAACTCCCTTCTGGCTATTCATGAAATGCAGGTATTCTCAAAGCATTATCTATTGCAAAAATGATGATTGTGTTAATGTCTCTCTAGTTTTTGTTCTTGATCTTTGCATAACTTCATCCTCAATGCTTCTTTATAACAATGGTTTTTTTTACTAGTTATCTGTGAATGGACCCATGCAACACTGGCTAAGTAGTGGCTCGAGTGATTGGAAGAATTGCCTGGAGAGCTAAGCTGGTTGGAAAACCCCTTTCTTCTTTCAAAATCAATGTCAATTGTTCTATCTTGGCCATTCTTGGAGGTCTTTGAGCATTGGCTTCAATTCTAGTCCTCAGGCCTTTACTTAATTAATCCAAACTGTTCAGCGGACCTAAATACAAAAGTTCTTTTATAATGTATATGGAGAAGACCTTTGGGATATTGTTCTAGGATTTCCCATTTATTATATTTAGGTGCTGCAACTACTGTAACCTTATCTTCTTGCATTATAGTAAAAATTTCTTTTGCCCTTCGATCGTGGATGTAGACTATTAAGCCGAAGCATGTAATTTCCCCATGTGTTTTATTATGTGATTCTCAATTTTGTTTTTTTCCTTCAATTCTAAGTTTTCAAACAATGCAGAAAGTGACATGGATGAAGATTATTGGAAAGAAAAATCAAACAATGCCTCCAAGTGATAGATTATATAGCTAGAATCTTTCAAACTTAAAACCCACCTCTTTGAAAAGCACCCTTCAATACCAGAGAATAAGATGGCTTAGTGAATAAGGCCGAGTTTTGTCTCAAAATCCCACCCCAGGTTCGGCTCCTATTGTTGTTAAAACTAGGTGCACAAGAAGCTTCCTTTTTGCTTCCTCCTTCAGAATGAATCATGGCTTCCATAGCTGGCTATATTGACTTCTAGCCTTTGGTTAAGAAGACACAGGCTCCATTAAATTTTGGACTGCTCTTCTAGCTTTACTAAAAGATCCAAAAATGATCAAGCGATACCACTTACCGTATTTGCATCAATTTCTCCCTATAAATGTATTGACAACCTTTCCAAATTGATCAAGAATCCTTTGAAGCCATCTTCAATGGACTCTTATAGGAATATTATTCATAAAGACAGTAAATACCTTCTTCATTTTCCTTCGCCTCCCAACATAATCATTATTGATGATTAAGAGCTTTTATTATTGATTATTGAATTATGCACAAGCTTTTATTTGGTATATGCAGAGGCAATTCAAGTCTTTAATGATATTATAGGCATAATCTTCAAAATCTTTACTTAAATTACTTAAATGATTGAATACTACACTGCAATCAAAAGGTTGGTCTGGAATATCACTTTTAGTGAATGATTCCATCACCTTTTATGAATTTTTGGCCTAAAATTGCTTATAAATTATAATATGTACAATAAGTAGAAGAACAAGAGTGAAATTCCTCTGTGTTTTACCCTTATGTTTTGGAAGAGTCAAATATGTGCAAAAAATTTGGATTTCAAAAAAAATTATCTCTTGCATAAGATCATATAAAGGTTGCATATCTATCTTAATTTTAAAAGCTAAGACCCACTCCATATCTATAAAACCATATTTCTTTGTCACTATGAATTCCAACCCATTAAAAACTCTTAATCATTAAGTATATTTACCCATTAAATAAACTTAATCATCAAATAAGTTTTGACTAATGAAATTTTATCGATTCCAAATTAAATTTTGAATAAAATATCTAACGCATTCACATGCAATTGTCCCTAGCGGTAAACAAAAATCCTCAAATCTGTAAACATTATATAATAATGTTGATAGCACATGCTGGCCAAAGAGCTTTTAGCTAGAGGGAGCAATAAACATTGGAGTCTCGAGCACCACCCACAACCAATAAATATTAGTTTTGCCAACTAATGTTATGCTGCTTTCTATTGCACTTTTATTGTACAATAATTAAAAGAACAAGAGTGAAATTCCTCTATACCCTAATTTTTAATTTTGTATTTTAAATCCTCAATGAATAAGTTGTGCAAATGTGTTATGCAGGAATAAAGACATGGAAAATTAAACTATAAGATCTATAAACTTAACAATTGCATCATTTTCTTTCCATGCACATTTGATTTGTGAGCATTACCAAACAAGCTTCCCAAGCATGCATGAGTGATATCGATCTTCTTAGAATCACTCATTCAATAAACAAAATACTATAATCTGAACTGAAACTTTTTCTTTTCTTTTCTTTTCTTTTCTTTTTTTTTTTTGGTTGATCAAGCTGAAGTGAATTTGAAGTTATATGCAAATTTAGATGCAGTCTAGTCATGCTCTTTTCTTTCAAGTTGTGGCAATTACGTAAACAGAACTACAGATACTCCAAGCAATGGAACCCAATAAGCAGAAAAGATACCATGCAATGTCTCTTGATAGTCAATTCATTCATATCAACTCTACTAACTATTTTACTGCCATAATTCAACATATATATATTTATATATAAAGCATGCAATTAAGCACAAAATGCTGTGAGGAAAAGCAACAAATCTTCATTACTAATGCATGTAATGATCAATGTCCCTCAAATGTATAAACCTGAGACTATTTTCAAGATTATTATTTTATACACCAACGGTCGGATTTTAACTCCGGCCATTAAATATAATTTTTTTTTGAAGGAAAGTTTTGGATGATCCAAAAGGGGCATAGAAAATTACTCCCACTAGTTCAAGGATTACAATAAGTGCTCCATTTCCTTAAAACAAAAAAATATTGCTCCTGTTGCTTCAACCTAAATGTTAAGGCAATAATAATATATTATTACCTCGTATAACTCCAGTCACATAAGCTTAAAGACAGTCCAAATACCAAGGTATTGTATCTCTAAAAGTTAGAGAGAAAAACCCCTCCTTTTTAAATTATTAGATATATTTACCCTTTAAATAAACTTTACCACCAAATAATTTTTAACCAATAAAATTTTAGTAATTCCCAGTTAAAATTTGGATAAAATATCTATCACATTCACATGCAATTGTCCCTAGTAAACAAATATCCTCATATCTATAAAAATTATATAACAATGTTGATATCACATGCTGGCCACAGTGCTTTTGGAGGGAGCATTTAAATTTTGAGTCTCGAGCACCACACACACCCAAGGAAGAAAATGATAAATAAAACAAAGTTTCTCAACGTATAGCATCAGCTTTCGCATTGTAGCTGGATTATCAAAGAAAAGCGAATCTTACATGGGAATTGTAAGCCAAGTTGCCGATATTTTTCCATTGTTCCTAATTTGAATATTAGTGTTCCAAATTTCCTATACCTACTCTGGCTACTTTGTCGTCATAGAGTTCCCGAAGGGATCTCATGCTTTCAATAGTTTAGCCAATTAATGTTATGTTGCTTTCTATTACAATTAATGCTTAATTGCAAAAGAATGATAATTAAATAAGGATCAAGTGTTTATTCTTAAGAACATTTGCGAAATAATAATAGTAATTTTTACTTACAAAGAGAGTCCAGTGTTTTCTTATAAACCAACCAAGAAGATGATAAATAAATGCATACTGAAAATAATTGAAAAATGACCAAAAGAAAGAGATCAATAATTCAAAAGTGCATCAATGATTCCATGTCCCACTTGCTTAGGAGTACAAAGAAAAAAAAATTATAAGTGTGAATTTAATTGCCTTTCGAATAATGGTAAATTTTGTTTAGGGAAAATCTGTACTTCATTAATTAAAGTAATTCAATTTCTTGAAATCTTATGGAGTAGACATTATTATGTTTAAGATCACAAACATGAAGCCAATTTTACCTTAGATAGAATTTCCTTTAATAAAATATTTCCATCCTTTTTTTGTCTTGGAGAGAGAATTAGTCGATGATAATGCTTCAATGACATTAAACTCTCCATTAATGGAGACAGCAATATTGTATTCAGTTCAAACATGAATCAGAAAACTTTGAAAAAGCTTGGAGAATTTCCCTTTTACCTTACTAAAGTTGGTTTCCACATTAGACTTAATGCTTTAAAGGCAAGAACCAAGAAAAGTCCTGATTCCGCATTGAAATTTCTTTGTTAACTTTTAAAGAAAGATAATCAATTAGATGACAAATGACCAAAGGTTTCCCCATCACAAGGAAAAAACAATTGACAGCACTTTCTTCAACATTTTTTAGCTTAGTTTTTCTCAATGCTGGTCATTTTTTTAATTGCAATTTCTCCTTGAGAATACCAAGTCCTGGCTGCAACTTTTCTTGAAAACAGAAAATAAAATGATTCCATGTCCACTAGCAAAAGCTTTACTGGGGACTTGGGATTATTGAAAGAAGCAATTTAGTGTTGGTTACTGGTTTGATGAGATGGACTATTGCATTTACAAAGGAAAACAAACTGTCTGATTAAACAACAGGAAAGTTCTTCCTAGATTTGATAGAATTAAGAATCAAAGTAGGGGAAAACAGAGGCATTTCAGGTCAAGGGTCTTCCACTTTTCAACTAAAACCCAAGAACGTAGGAAGAATGACTTATTTGAGTTCTAAAAGGGCCTTGCTCAAATTGAAGTTAATTTGTGGAAGTTTTTGAAGCTAAGTAATAATCGGATGGAAACAACTTAAATCAGTCACTCAATGTGAATAAAGCTTATTTAAAATTAATTAAGAAGTTAACTACGAAGGAAATCACTACATCGAGTTGACTAACAATCAATTAACCAAGTAAATGGCTTTGTTTTATTTCACTATCATGCATATGGGTGAGATTAGGCTACTACTTGTTAAACAAAGTGTGAAATGAAATCAATTGACCATTAATCTATTTATTTGTAAAAGGATAATGCATTTCCATAGACAAAAAGCGAACCATGCTTCACGCCTGGAAGGAAAAAGAGTAAGTAATTGACGAAATGAAGATAAAACATAGAAAAGCCAAGCTGAAAACAATAAATAAAACAAACTTTCTCAATGTATAGCACTAGCATTCGGCTTTTGCAAGGCAGCTGGTTATTATGAAAGAAAAGAGAATAATATTTGTTTATTAATTAGTGGGGAAACTCACATGGGATGTCTTTGACCCAAGTTGCCAATATTTGTTTATTAATTTCTCGTCATAGAGTTTCCATTTGAGCGTCTTCTTCTATCATCTCCACATCTACAAGCTACACTGTCCCAAGAATTTGTTTGAGCTCTTCTTTAACCTCGACAAAACCTACTCTTCCATTTTATTTTCCTTCACTTTCCCTCTTTTCTTTTAACTCAAAGAACAAAAGCATCTCTGTAGTGTGTTGTTTAACTCTGCAACAAAAAAAAAAAAAGGAAACAATTTTGATCAAATAACTCTAAGTTAATTTGAGTCATACAAGGGTCTTCCCATTAAGTTAACTTGTTATCAAATAAATCTAATTCAAATTATCAATATATCTTTTTATGTGGTTATTTTAAGAAACCTATATATATAATTATGCTATCCAAAGTAAAAGCTTGGGATAAATTAAACTGGACTAATCCAATCTAAAAGCCAGAGGTTTGGCACTAAGCAAAATATTTGTTTGGGGTTCAAGAATAAGCATTATAATGTTGTTTTTGAACCTTAGTCTAATTGGAAAAGAGTTTTGTTTTATTATATTCGGAACCAATGATATAGTTATTAATTAATTTTAATTTAGAGGGAAATTCTCATCATTATCTTTTATATGTTTGAAATTTTGGTATCCAAAAGTTATCACTCAATGTGAAAAGGAAAAAACAATTTGTTTATTAATTAGTTGGTGCGAAAACTCACATTGGACAACTGTGAGCCAAGTTGCCAATATATTTCCATTTATCCTATTCCTTCTCTTATTACTTTGTCGTCATAGAGTTTCCATTGGAGCATCTTCTTCTATCATCTCTACTACCCCAAGAGTTTGTTTGATTTCTGCCTTGCTCTTCTTTTAACTCAACAAAACCTACTCCTCCATTTTATTTTCCTTCACTTTCCTACATTTCTTTTAACTCAAAGAACAAAAGCATATCTGTTGTTTAACTCAGCAAGAAAGAAAAAAAAAAAACAGTTGATCTCTTGAATTGCTTTTTCTTTATCCTTGTTTGCTACGTTTCCTTTCCTTAATTTTGGTTTCCCGATCTCCAGAGTTGGTGAAGTAATTCCATTTCAATTGAGGTAAGCATCAATTAAACATATTATATTCTCCATATTTATTTTTTTTCATATGCTCTATTTCTCTTATCATTTATAAATTTGACTTTTTATTTTTTAAGTTGGCAAATAAAATTAGTTAATTTCTACTTTATTTCTTTACTTCTTAATCCTATGAATGTTTAATAACATACTATGTGTAGCATTTTAGTATGAAATAGTTTTAATGTTATGACTTTAAAATATGTAAAAATATATGAATAAACCTATGCTGAAATTTCATTTTAAGTTTTTTAATTTACTATAAATTTTCATATCTTTTCTATTTTTAACCAACATTTATGGATATTTGGGGAAAGCATTTTATAGAATGATGATACTATGCTTTTTCTTTAATATGAAAATATATTTTTAATTAATATACACATGACTAGTGACAAGAATTTCTACATGTGCAGCATTTTCAATTTCCAAGTGGATCAATCAACAGTCCATTCTCTTGTGATCCACATTTTCATAAAGGTAAGGCACTTTGCAAACATTTTGTAATTGGTTTTTCTCTCTGTAAAACTTTTTACTTGTTAATATTAAAATAAAAAAAATCTATTTTATGAAAGATTCAAGTGATCTTTAATTAAAACAAGTGATCTTTAATTAAAACTATGAACACACCTTTGCAATTTGCATTGCACATTCCTACCAAAAATATTAAAAAATATTCTTAAACTTCCTTTTATAGTTTCTTTTTTTTTTTACTTTTTTTTGTACAACTATTTGTTTTTTATTTCTAACAAAGTTAAGTGAGAAACAAATGACAAAAAAGTGAAATGATAATTAATTAAAAATGAGTAAATGACTAGGGTAAAAATAAATAAATAAATGATTGAATTATATTAAAACTAAAGAGATATATCTCATCATTTAGAATATTATACATATATATACATTTAATTTATCAAAAACTTATTTTGATTTATTCAAACATGCTTATCAGGTGAAGTCCGTTAAGTCTTTCATTACCGTGTTAGTTTGCTTGCATTTCCCTGTCATCTGCTTTAGATTGATTTCAACCAAATTGTAGATCCATGGCGGAATCAATTTTATACGGGGCGCTCGGTAACATCTTTGCCCAGTTAACGTGGCTTGCTGGGCAAAAGATTGGCTCGATTTTCTGGCAGAAAGGCGAACTGGATAAGCTTCAAAAGACCCTCGACATCATAACAGCCGTCATTCTTGATGCTGAGGCGAAGCGGGAGAGCAACCTTGTCGTGAAAAACTTGATTAGTATACTGGAAGATGTTGTCTCTGATGCAGAGGACTTACTGGACGAATTCGACTATGAGCTCCTGCGCCAGAAGGTGCGTCCTCGGGGACAGGTACGCAAGACCTTTCAATACTTCAGGATGGGTCCTAGAGTTAAGGAGATTAGAAAGAGGCTGGACGTGGTTGCAACAGAGATTAAAACGTTTGATTTTAATGTGAGAGTTGTAGAACTGGATAAGAAAACTAAGAATACTGAGAGAGAGACTGCCTCAAAGGTGAGACCGGAATTAGTAATAGGGAGAGAGGAAGAGAAAGAGCACATTATAGAATTGTTGAAGGAGCAAAATCATGGTGACGGCATCTTCAATGTTATTGCCATTGTTGGGTTTGGAGGTTTAGGAAAGACCTCGCTTGCCCGGTTGGTGTATAATGATGCAAAAGTAGCAGATTCCTTCAAAGGGATATGGGTGTGTGTTTCTGAAGAATTTGATGTTCTTGTAATTTTCAGAAATATTTTGAAGTCTCTAGGAGTACGCAATGTGGATGACTGGAATCTAAATGAAGTGCAAAAACAGATTGAACAAAAGTTAAAGGGGAAGAAATATTTACTTGTGTTGGACGATGTGTGGAATGATGACATTTTAAAGTGGAATGAATTTTCACAATATATGGCATTTGGTGCTACCGAAAGCAAAATTATTGTGACAACTCGTAGCATCAAAGTTGCAGCTACTATGGGGGTACGCAGTCCTTACCTTTTAAAAGGTCTAAATGAGGAACAATCTCAGGATTTGTTTGAGAAAGTGGCATTTGAAGGACGTCATATCGATCCAAAGCTTGGACTAATTGGAAAAGTTGTTGCACAAAAATGCAAAGGAGTTCCCCTTTCTATTAAATGTTTGGGAGGTTTGATGAAACAAAAGCCTGATGAAAAATACTGGTTGTCTGTCCAAGAAAATGAAATTTGGGATAACAAGGATGTTTTGTCTGTGCTAAAATTGAGTTATGCTCAGCTACCAAGTAATTTAAAACAATGTTTTGCTTTTTGTTCGCTTTTCCCAAAAGACTCTTGGATACGTAAAGATGAGTTGATTCATTTTTGGCGAGCACAGGGTTACATTCAATTAAAGAACAAAAATGAGAATATACAAGATATTGGTGATGAATACTTTAATGATTTGTTGTCAAGATCATTTTTTCAAGAGGAGGAGGAAGATGGGTATGGGAATAATTTTTGTAAAATGCATGATCTTATCCATGATCTTGCAGTATCAGTAGCAAGTCATCATTTTCATTGGATGAAAGATGAAAAAGAAGAAATTCCAAAAGAAGTCCGTCATGTGTCATTAGAAAATTATTCCAAGGAAATTGATTTGATTTTGTCAAAAATAAAGGGGATAAGGACTATGTTTTTTCGGACACACATTTTCGAGGATTTGTTCATTCGAAATGTAACCTTTTCAAGCTTCAATTATTTACGTATGTTGAATTTGAGGTCAATGGACATTGACATTTTGCCAGATTCAATTGGTGAATTGAAACACTTGAGATACCTTGATCTTTCTAATAATTACAAGATGAAAGTGCTCCCAAATGCAATAGTCAAATTGCACCATCTGCAAACTCTATTACTCCATTCTTGCCTCATTCTTAAAGAGTTACCAAGGGATATACAACAATTGATTAGTTTGGAATATCTCAATATTGATTGTTGCGATAACCTAACGTGCTTGCCGAAAGGTTTAGGGGAATTGACTTCCTTGCAAAGATTGGATAGATTTATTGTGAACAGTGTTGAAGACAATTTATCAACTGCAGCCACGTTGAATGAGTTGCGTAAGCTAGACCTCGGAAACAGCATAGAAATTGATCACTTACACAATGTGAGGAATGTGGAATTAGAATGTAAGGAGGCAAATTTAAAGAAAAAGAAACGGCTTCAGTCTTTGCAATTATCTTGGGAATCTTCCTCTCCGACAACAGCGGCTAGCGAAAAGGATGAGTCATTGTTAAATATTCTTGAGCCACACCCGAATTTGATAGGGCTGAGGGTATCCGGTTATGGAGGAGCAAGGTTTTCGAGTTGGCTATCTTCATTGACTAATTTAGTCCAACTTGAAATAGACAAATTTCATAATTGTCGAGACCTGCCACCCTTGGATCATCTTTCATCTCTCAAATCTCTTTCTCTTAAGAATTCCAATGTTTTAGAACACCTGCCACCTTTGGATCATCTTCTATCTCTCGAGTCTCTTTCTCTTTGGTGGTTAGATGCTTTAGAATACGTGGCAGATTCTTTCCCCGTGCCTTGTTCCACGTTAAGAGAACCATGCTTCCCGTCGCTTGAGAACCTTGAGATCCGGTGCTGTCCCAGTCTCAAAGGATGGTGGAAGACAAAGAATGAGAACCAAGGATCAATAGCTGAGCTGCCTTACTTTCCTTGCCTTTCCAAGTTGGAAATCCACGAGTGTCCAAACTTAACCTCCATGCCGTTGTTTCCAGCTCTCTACGGATATTTGACTTTGGCAGATGCTAGTATAAGGCCTTTGCAACAAACATTGAAGATGAAGATGAAGATGAAGATGATTGAGGCCAGCATGACATCAGAAGAAGCATCATCATCATCAGGGAGCACTTGTCATTCTTATTCGTCAACTGCCCTTCCTCTCTCCAATTTGGAGCGTCTGTTACTTTGTAACATTAAGGATCTAGAAGCTCTGCCAGATGAGTTCCTACAAAATCTCGCTTCTCTTACATTCTTAAGTTTGACAGATTGCCCCAAATTGGAATCGCTGCCGTCGCAAAAGATGAGCTGCCTCACCTCTTTACAAGAATTTTCGGTTGAAAATTGCCGTAATCTGAGGGGTTTGCCGGATTGGATACTCAATCTCACTTCCCTTAGAAGACTTGAAATTCATAAGTGCCTTGAATTACGGTCCATTCCAGAAGGGACGCCTCAGCTTACATCTTTAGAAGAATTATCTGTTTGGAGCTGTCATAAGTTGGGGGCTTTACCTGACTGGATACTCAATCTCACTTCCCTTAAAACACTTCAAATTGTGGAGTGCTTTGAATTACAGCACATGCCAGGAGGGACGCATCAACTTACCTCTTTAAAAGAATTGTTGGTAGGCAATTGCCCTAATCTGAGGGCTTTGCCTGACTGGATACTCAATCTCACTTCCCTTAAAACACTTGAAATTTGGGAGTGCCTTGAATTACAGCACATGCCAAAAGGGACGCCTCGCTTTACATCTTTAGAAGAATTATATGTTTGCTGCCATAATTTGAGGGCTTTGCCAGACTGGATACTCAATCTCACTTCCCTCAAAGACCTTTCCATATGCGAGTGCCTTCAATCACCGTACTTCCAAGAAGGGATGCAAAGCCTCACCTCTTTACAACGATTGATGGTTGTATATTGCCCTAATCTGAGTTCTTCCACACATTCTCTCAAAGCACTTCTAACTCGGGGGTGCCCTGATTTAAGCTCCTGGACAATGAGGCAAAACTACTCCGCTTTAGAAGAATTGAATGTTCAAAATTGCCCTAATCTGGAGGATTTGCTGAATCGCATAGATGAGGAGATCACTTCCCTCAAAACACTTAAAATTTGTAAGTGCCCTGAATTACAAGACTTGCCAGAAAGGATGGATGGCCTTACCTCTTTACAAGTATTGTCAATCAGTGAATGTCCCCAGTTGTCGGAAAGATGTGAAAAGGAGACTGGAATCCTATGGCCTCGCATTGCCCGCATCCCTTCTATTACAATTGATGGGCGACAAATTCAATGATGATCATACAATATAGGTAACCACATGTTTCTTCACCTCTATTTATATTTTCTCCCTTTTCTTGATAAATTTTTTTTTTTCTTCCTGGATTTGTATGATTCGTAATTTGTTGTATGCATGTAATCCAAGTCGACTATGCAAAAGTGGATTTAATCCATTTTCTGCTACTTCTTTCTAAGTGGACTAACACTATTGATTTCTTTTTTCTTTTCTTACTTTGAATTTTGTTTTTGTTAAGTTAGATATTACTAATATGAAATGTGACCAAAACTTGATGTCAAAACGCTGCCAGTATGTCACAGCAATTGGGAACTTTTTTCTTGTTTCAATCTCTCATTCTTCAATTATAATCCTAAATTTTAAGCAGTTAGGATCTCACTAGCAATTGATGGAACCCTTGTGCAGATAGCATATTTATAGTCAAAGCATTAAATTTTATACTCTTATATAGACAAATTTAAAAAAATTACAGCAGTATAGCACACTTATTGTGAAAGCATTAAACTTTATACTCTTGTACATATAAATTAAAAAAAAAAACAGTATTATAAACGTACTTAAGTTATCTAATTATTGTGATTTTTCAGTTTGTTATATCAATTCCTAACTTCTTCTGTTTAACATAAGCATAAAATGGAGCTATGGACAGATTATTGTCAGTTGTTTCACTTCCCCTGTTTTTGTGCA